CTACTTATATTTTGATCACTAATTTATAGAGTAAACCACCATTTTAGTCCCTCCTGTTCCAAGTGTATGTTATCATAACCCCCAAATCCGATTTTTAAACCCAATTTTATTTTGAATTCGACCTTCAATCGTGGGTTTCTTTCAATTTAGTCATGTTACTATTATTTTTCTTTTTATTTATTTATTATAATCGTTATTATTATTTTTAATATTTTTACTTTACATATATACATATTTCTTATTTTACTTTATTTTTATATTATTACTTTTTATTTTGTTTACAAATTATTATATATATATTATTTTTATATATATTGATATAATTATTACTATTATTATTATCTTCTTTTTTTTACTCATTTATATATATATACTATTTATTTATACGTTTCTTTTTTTATTTATTGTTTTCGTTTATTTGTTTTGTTTTTCTAAATATTTATTTATGTGTATATACGTATCTATTTGTTTTTTTTTTTTTGAATAATGTTTCCATGTATACATAATATACTTATTACCTTTTCTATTTTAAGATACCATATTTTATTTATATACATATCGTTTATTTTATTCTTCCTTTTATCATTTATTTTGTTTTCTCTGTTTTTTTTTATTCACTCATGTTATCATTTTGTTTATTCTATTTTATTTATACTTACATTATTGTTCTCTTTTCTATTTTGTTGTTGCTCTCATATTTACATGTCTTTTTCTCCTAATTCGATATTGTATTTCAATATAAGTCTAATACCGTTAAACTCTTAAGGGAATTTTCACCAATCAGAAGTAAGTAACTGGGATCTTATTTATTTTAAAAACTTTAAATTTAAACTTATAATTTTCTTAAACAAAGACAACTGGAAATTACATAGTATCGAAAGGGCGGTTCGAGGGTGCTAATCATTCCTTGACCGTAACCGACTCCGAAATCTGACATATCATTGGTAAGACGCAAATCAGGTAAGAAATAAAGTATCTGGTCAACCCATTTTTTCATAAAATAAATTATCGATGGCGACTCCAATCCACATTTTTCAAGTCGAAGCCCAATTCTGGGGCCCAACCGAAAGACGGTTGCGACATCTTGGCGACTCCGCTGGGGACAGGTAAGCGAGTCAGGCTAAGGTAATTTCCAGTTGTCTTTTTAATGAAAAGGGTAAGTTTAAATTTTAAGGTAACATTTCGATCCTTATTGCTTACTTTTGATTATATTTTTTCGAGTAAATAGTTGTACTAACCGTTTTCTCAATGATTTCAGCCTTAAAGTATTTTTTTCATCTAAGGCTCTAAACCCGAGCTCCGAACCCGTTTTAAATGGGGGTGAAAGCGACGCATTCGTGTGAATTTATTCACCGCATATGCCTAGCAAGTAGCCTTCGGGATTCATATACCTTATGTCTTCGTGTGAATTTATTCTCCGCATAAACATAAGGGAATGTGTCCTCTCGAGTTTAACTTAGTCCACACAAGCATGTGATGGGTTTAGGAGTAAGTGTCTGGCAAGCCCAAGGGGGCACCAGCAAGGAGAACTCGGGTACCGTTTTTTAGCACCTAAACCTGGAGACTTTAAAGAATTAGAGCTACCCCAAAACCTCATTTCAAACCCTAAGATGCCAGAATTATTTCATGCTTTACTTTCTGTTCAAAGCATGCGAACTAGACAAATATGCGGTTAGGATTTGTTTGAAATTAGCATGCGGGATAGAGATCATGTCCGAGTAGGAATACTAAGCATGTTCGGGTAGATATCGTGTGGGGTAGGATTTTTCATTTTATTATTTTGATTTACCTCACTAATTTTTTTATTTTGTCATCTTTTATTTTGTTTTCATCATTTACATCATAACAAGAGGCCATTGATCCCTAAAAAGGTGTTTGTTACACAAAATAATCTGAATTAATAAATAAAGGTGTTGTAATACAAGAGATTAAAAACCTCGAGGTACGACTATGGTCCGAGAAGACTCAGAAGGAAAAGGGAGACAGTCTTCAACGAAGCTATGTGTTAGAACTGGTTAGCTACGCCTCTATTAGCCTAAAGCAGAACGACGTGCAAGAGCTTCGGGACATCTGGAGCAGTTGGAAGAATGATTGGAAACAGAAGTTCAGTCAACGATATGGTGACATTGCACTTTTGCTTCATGTTAAGACCGATGAGCCCTTAATCAGAGCCTTGGTTCGATTCAGGAACCTGGGATACAGTTGCTTCACTTTTAACCAGGAGGACATGGTACCTACCATCGAGGAGTATACTACACTATTGCACTGTGAAAGTATTAAACTGGAGCGATCCTACATCAAGAGTCAGTCTTTCAAGTACAAACTGGCTAAGATTGCAGGAGTTGATGAAAAGTGGGTGACTGACCGACTCCGAAACAAAGGTAACGGGCAGGGAATTGAGTGGATCCACATAAGGAAACTAATGAATGACCACCCTGATGAATGGAAGACTATAGACCTTTTTTGCACTAGGTATGTATGGCTTGATCATCTTTCCGAAGATTTTAGGATGCATTGACGCAGCCGTGGTGGAATTGTTTGAGCAACTTCCGAAACGGGTCAACCCAGCACCAACCATTTTAGCCGAGACCTTTCAGTCTCTCAACCATTGTCGAAGAGCTGGCGGAGGTAGATTCATTGGATGTGTTCAGCTCCTTCAAGTCTGGATTCACAACCACTTCTGGAAGAATAATGGGGTTGCCTACAGTCGATTTAGCACTACGTATTCACCTTTGAGAGAGTTCATCACCATGAAATGGCATGAAGGAACTTTAAAAGAGAAGTTGATGAAAGTCTTCACTCATCTATCAAGACCGAGATATTACTTGGAGAGCTCCCTGGTTGTTCCTGAGTGACGTTCTTTTCCAATGTGGGGACTCTGACACTATGACCTTATCTGAACTTTGGGATTCAGTTGGGTATGCTCAATTGTTAGCACTTAGACATTATGGGGCACGTCAGTTTGTCCCAGCAACATGCGGACTAGCTAAATCAGAGTTTGAGTATCACAGTGACAGTTATAAGAAGAGGATCAAAGAGATTGTCGATTCATGGAAGAAAGTGTTACGGATGGATATTGTGGCTGCTAAAGACATGCTTACCCCAGACTATTTAGAGTGGCGAAGATTACAAAAAAACGACAACACCCCGGTGCCAAACTGTGAGGACACAGGACTATGGAGGAGCATCTCAGGCATGTCCCTTCTGGACTTGAGATAGCCAAAACAGAGTTTGAAGCTGTGAACAATGAGCTGGGGAAGAGGATAAAGGAACTTGAGGCTGAGCGCTATCAGTGGAATTTAGATGTCGACTCTCATAAAGATCGAGCAGACAAACTAGAAAGAGAACAAAAAAGAGTTCTATTTAGAGCTCGAAGACTTGAGAAAGGGGTATCAAGATAAAGTCAATGATAACTCCAAGTTGAAAGTGGCTTCTAAATACTGGAATGAGAGAGCTTGGAAGGAACAGGTGAAGACTGCCCAAAGGCGCTTAGCAGGCAGTCAGCATCAAAACCAATGCTTGAGAATCCGGATGGCTGATCTGGAGAAACAACATGATAGAGATGGCAAAACAATAGCTGAGTTAGAAGCTATTGTAGATGGGTTCAAGAAGCAAGCAAACAAGCTTCAGATAGTGCCCTTCGACGGATATTTACAGTGGTGTTTCCATTGGGAGCAAGCACAACAAAAGGTGAAGGCCAGGGACGCAGTCATCCAAGACATCCTGGATCAAGTACAAAAGGCAGCTCGTCATCTACACGGCCTGGCAAGGGAAATTGGAATGGTCCGACAAGGCATACAACCAGTGACAGATGAAGACATAAGACTTATCGACCTACTAGAAGCTATTCGGGGTCTAAAGGATTTAGTCTGAATGTACCTTTGATTATTTTTACGTCTCTTACAAGATAAAACATTTTTGTCTAAGTAAAGATTATTTATAATAATAGACACTTTTCTGGATCAATGCCTCGAACATTTCATGCATTCTTGCATTTTTGCATATTCATCTTCATTTTTAAGCATTTTCACTAACATGAAATTAAGTCATGGAGGATTCGAAGAAGTGGTCTTAACCACATGACACCACATTGAATCAAGATTTTAACAATTAAAGAAAAAGCCGAAATCAATACAGTGGGAACCTGATCAGCTGATTGTAGGACAAAGCCTGCCAGGATGATCTGAAAAAAGAGTCCACATATCCTAAGGACTACGATGTTGAAGCTGTTTGCAGTTGCCACATAAGAAGCCCCAAACATTCATCTGAAAATTATAAGGCGCTTGTCGAAGAAGGGGGCATGGCATATACCATTTGCACTTAGAGGATTGCTTTGTTTGAACACGTCTTTGATCTTTCATGTTTGCTTAATCTTTTAAAGGATTGAATTTATGCTACTTTCTAAGGTGGAGAAATTGAACAAATTTTAATCTTTAGTTCTTCGAATATTAAATGAATTAAGGATTCTTTTAATTATTCAAGAATTATAGATTTTTGACATATGACAAGATTAGACCTTTCTTATCCTGTCTCAAACCCTAAAATAAAATACCTCGATTCTTTACCCAAAATAACTTATGGTCATTACCAAAAAGACCAAATTCTTGAACATTGCCTTTATCTTTTCGATACACCCATACCTTTCTTTCAGTCAATAAAATCACACCACTGTCTTTTTGGACTCAAAATTGACATTTTAATACCATTAAAACCCAAGGCATTGAGTTGTTCATCTGAACATGAGCGTTATTCTAAAGACACAACTTGGGGCATCTCGCGGGGAGCTTGAACATTGAGAAATCTGGGAAAAAATGAAGAAGAATTCATCCAAAATAATTCTATCATGCATTAACTACATTGTTTTCATGTGAATAGAACTAATCCTGAAAATATATCCCCCTGAGGATACCTCTTCTGTGAAGACTTACATGTATGAAATGATGAATGGCTTTCTTTCTTTATCCTTTCACAATAGGAGAAAATATATATCCCTTGTGTCCCCTTTTGAGCCTATAGTATTTTTTTCTTCTGATTCAACCCTAACCAAGGATCACCCTCCATACTAGGGGGCAAGGTGGAAGAAATTTGCTCACATGAGTGAAGACATCGATCCAAAGGTGGACCAAATGGCAAGTGCGAAGATCCAATCAAGAACAAAAAAGAAAAGAAGCAAAAGAAGAAAAAAACAAAGAAAAAAGATAAACAAAAGAAAAAAAGAAAGAACAAAAATCAAAAAGAAAAAGGGACAAAAAGCACATGCAAAGATTCCCTAAAGACAAATGACACATCAAGCTTCAAACTATGAGATTGATCAAGCACAATCATTCCCGAATCACTGAATCACTTCACTCGAAGATCATAAAGCATCAAGAGAAAGAGACATTTTGAGCAAGACAAGATTGAAGGCATCAGAATGAATTGATCCTTGGTTCAAAACCCTGTAACACTTGTTTGGGCCTATTTATCTTTTTCTTTCATAACCATGCGCCCTGGCCTATATTACGTGCCTTAAAAGTCTCTTCTAATCATACATGGATTTCTAAACAGAAGAGATTATCTTCAGATTTCATCCCGCCCATCAGGATTAATCTTTGTTTGCAAAAAACAATGTAATTAATGCATGGTATAGAAAAATAACAAAAGGGAGTTCAAGACGTAAATCCTGAATAACGTCTTGAAACCAAAGGAGGGTTCGAGTTGAAAACCTGAAAAGGTGGCTCGAATATAAAAATTATACAACTGAGGCGATCACACAAGTTCCTTGATACGACATCGCATAATCCGAATGTAACCACGAAGGTTGGGAGTCAGAGAACACTTCTAGTAGAGGAGCATGCAAGATACCCCATCAAACCTTTGAGCATCAAATTCCAAACCTTTGACCAAACACAATAACCTGAGACTTTTTTATCCTTTCCTTACTCAACCATTTCCCAAAGATAGCTTTGATCTTGGCATTTGTCAAATAGCTATAATTTATTGAAGGATTAACATTGTAATTAATTCTTTGATATCCAATGAACTCTAGTTTTATGATTCGTCTCAATTGTAAAACCGTGAAAGGGATAATATTTTCAAAACTTTTGATATTTTTAGAACTTTGAAAATAAAGGAAAAAAACATTTTTTTTCAAACAAGATAGTCTCTCTAGAATGGATCTTGGTAAATGACATGTGACTCTTAGACACAAAACTCATGCTCAAAATCAATGCTGAAGCAAGAAATGAGGAACATCTGGGGCATCTTTGAAGATTCAACATCAAATATTGGGGCATTTTTGGATATTAGGGCATCATTTGGGGATTCAACATCCTAATGCAAATTATCAGACCTTTTTTCAGGAGATAAAATATAACCAATTCATGTTACATGCATCTTATGCATACATTTTAGAGCATCATATTTATCATTTTCCACATACATATTTTTTTGCAGCTTTTAGAGTCAAGTTTCGACCTCAAGACGAAGGATACTCGATTCAAAAGCACCTTTAAAGATTCATGTTGGTTGCTTAACTCAGCAGCAAGAAGCTACACTTCGACCAACTTGACAGATTGAAAGTTTTTCTCGAAACAACACAATTTGCTCGAGAGTGGATTTCAACTTCACGACGAAGGATATCTAGCTCGAAGCCAAACTTCACAATAAAGGGGTCTCCACAGTTTCAACTTCATGGTGAAGGGAATTGTGTCCACCCGCAACATACAATACTTGGATTTCAACTTCACGACGAAGGATATTCAAGTCAAGGCTCAACTTCACAACGAATGGGCCATCCACGATTTCAACTCAACGACGGAGGATATCGTGCCACTCGAGACAACACAAGTTCAACTTCACGACGAAGGGACGGCTGGTTGTCAACAAACAACTTCCCAATTTCAGAGCCAATTTTAACTTCACGGCGAAGGATATTGGACTCCAGACAACGTAAGTTCAACTTCACGACGAAGGGACCGCTGGTTGTCAACAACAACCTCCCAATTTTAGAGCCAATTTCAACTTCACAACGAATGATATTGGACTCCAGACAACGCAAGTTCAACTTCACGACGAAGGGACCGCTGGTTGTCAACAAATAACTTCTCAATTTTAGAGTCAAATTCAACTTCACAACGAAGGATATTGGACTCTAGACAACGCAAGTTCAACTTCACGACGAAGGGACCGCTGGTTGTCAACAACAACCTCCCAATTTCAGAGCCAATTTCAACTTCACATCGATGGATATTGGACTCCAGACAACGCAAGTTCAACTTCACGACGAAGGGACCGCTGGTTGTCAACAAACAACTTCTCAATTTCAGAGCCAATTTCAACTTCACAACGAAGGATATTGGACTCCGGACAACGCAAGTTCAACTTCACGACGAAGAGACCGCTGGTTGTCAATAAACAATTTCCCAATTTCAGAGCCAATTTCAACTTCACAGCGAATGATATTGGACTATAGACAACGCAAGTTCAACTTCACGACGAAGGGACCGTTGATTGTCAATAAACAACTTCCCAATTTCAGAGCCAATTTCAACATCACAGCGAATGATATTGGACTCCAGACAACGCAAGTTCAATTCACGACGAAGGGACCGCTGGTTGTCAACAACAACCTCCCAATTTCAGAGCCAATTTTAACTTCACGGCGAAGGATATTGGACTCCAGACAACGCAAGTTCAACTTCACGGCGAAGGGACTGCTGGTTGTCAACAACAACCTCCCAATTTTAAAGCCAATTTCAACTTCACAGCGAAGGATATTGGACTCATGACAACGCAAGTTCAACTTCACGACGAAGGGACCGCTGGTTGACAACAAACAACTTCTCAATTTCAGAGCCAATTTCAACTTCACAACGAATGATATTGGACTCAGAACAATATTTGGATTTCAACTTCATGACGAAGGATATCCAATTCTTAGGCTCAAATTCACGACGAATGGGCCATATACAATTCCAACCTCACAAACAGATTGACTTAACTTCACGACGAATGGGCCATATACATATACAACTTCACAACAAAGGGTATCATATCCCAATGGATTGACTCAACTTCACGACGAAGGGGTCATCTGTAACATCACAACACCAAAGTCTTCAGGTCAAGTTCCACCTTCACGACAAAGTATCTTGAGCCAGAAGACGACTCAGAGGCCACTTGTCAAAAGCTTTGAGCTCATTTTTAACTTCACAACGAAGGATTTCGTGCTCAGAGTTTTCCATTTTTGACTCAACCTCACAATGATGGAGTCATTTTGTGATTGACAAACTAGTCTTAACATCGGACTTCAACTCTACGGTAGATGATATTCGATATGGCCAAAATTTGTATCTTTTAATCTTTGATCTATTTTTGTTACACGATAATGAGCAAAGAGGGGCAGCTGAAGATACCAAATTTCGCCCAGAACCAGACTACACGTGGTTCGACCCGGTTCAGGACGCGAACCACCCAAAGGTGTAGAACCCTAGTTCGTCGCAAGCCCTCAACATAGTCAACCCCGCACGATTCTGGGAGAGTCCCGATTTCGGTGGCAACGTCCTTTATTTTTCTCGGTGTTTGAAAACCACATGAAGACCAAAGACAAAGCAAAGAGTTTTAATCTCATTAGAACTCTAAAACCGCATGGAATAGGCTTTTATTTTTGCTATAAATAAGTGTAAAATCAATATGTAAAGGGGGAGGAAGCAAGAAAAAGAGAGAAATTTCTTTCAATCGAAATACATTTATCAGCAATAAAAACAAGAAGGAACTGAAATTGTTTCAACCAAACCCAAAGGTATTTCAGCTTTCTTTTTTCGTTTGCTTTCTTTATATATTTGTTAAATCCTTGGTGTAATGTAAATTTTTGTTCTTAAGTTCACGTAAGTTATAGGCTTAAGAAATTATAAATAAATAAATACTGGGAATTACCTTGTTGTGGCTTCGTTGTTTGGGTTCTCAACTGAGGTGATGAAGGCTGCTTCGGTTCGTGGGGAGCCAACTGTCGCGGGATGATGAGCCAAAGGAGGAGAAGAGTGAATGGGTGTGAGGCTGCGAGCAGATTGAAATTGGGGAAGAGATGGGTTTTCTTATTTTAATTTTGGGTAAAATCACGCAAAAGATCCTCATACCTTTAGCGTGTTTTGCATTTAAGTCATCAAGTCATGGGTTAATTATCCACAGGTCCTAAAACGTTAAGCATCTACTTATATTATGGTCACTAATTTATAGGGTAAACCACAATTTTAGTCCCTCCTATTCCAAGTATATGTTATCATAACCCCCAAATTCGATTTTTAAACCCAATTTTATTTTGAATTCGACCTTCAATCGTGGTTTTCTTTCAATTTAGTCATGTTACTATTATTTTGCTTTTTATTTATTTATTATAATCGTTATTATTATTTTTAATATTTTTACTTTACATATATACATATTTCTTATTTTACTTTATTTTTATATTATTACTTTTTTTTGTTTACAAATTATTATATATATATTATTTATATATATATTAATATAATTATTACTATTATTATTATCTTCTTCTTTTTTACTCATTTATATATATATATACTATTTATTTATACGTTTCTTTTTTTTATTTATTGTTTTCGTTTATTTGTTTTGTTTTTTTAAAATATTTATTTATGTGTATATACGTATCTATTTATTTTTTTTGGAATAATGTTTCCATGTATACATAATATACTTATTACCTTTTCTATTTTAAGATACCATATTTTATTTATATACATATCGTTTATTTTATTCTTCCTTTTATCATTTATTTTGTTTTCTCTGTTTTTTTTTATTCACTCGTGTTATCATTTTGTTTATTATGTTTTATTTATACTTACATTATTGTTCTCTTTTCTGTTTTGTTGTTGTTCTCATATTTACATGTCTTTTTCTCCTAATTCGATCTTGTATTTCAATATAAGTCTAATACCGTTAAACTCTTAAGGGAATTTTCACCAATTAGAAGTAAGTAACTGGGATCTTATTTTTTTAAAATCTTTAAATTTAAACTTATAATTTTCTTAATCAAAGACAACTGGAAATTACATAGTACCGAAAGGGCGGTTCGAGGGTGCTAATCCTTCCTTGACCGTAACCGACTCCGGAATCCGACATATCATTGGTAAGACGCAAATCAGGTAAGAAATAAGGTATTCAGTCAACCCATTTTTTCATAAAATAAATGATTGGTGGCGACTCCAATCCAAAATTTTCAAGTCGAAGCCCAATTCCGGGGCCCAACCGAAAGACGGTTGCGACAGTTCTAGATCAAATTTTAAAGAAGTTTATTTTGACAACAATCCTCTAAATCTAATTTAATCTATTTATAAATATTACGATTTAAAATTTTGTTTTTATTTAAAAGATTCGATGTATCGTCCTATTAGATCAATTGATTGTTGATTTATTTTAAACATTTTAAATATATTTAAAAAATAATATATATTAGTACTAATCAAACAACTTCAATAATTAACAATACATTTATTTTTCTTTGAAATTATAAGTTTAAACAAGTAGCTTGCAAAGATGTTTGAGTATTAATTGTCAAATAATTAAAACATTTTAAATAAATATGATTTTATAATAAAAATATATATATTAAAATACTAAATAATTAATATTTAATTAATATTTAAAAGTGAAATAAAAAAGTACATGTAACGCCGTGTACATTTAACTCTGCACTCCGCAGTCAATATTATGGGAACAATTTATTTAATTACTATAATTAAGGTTCTTAATTAAACGATTAAATTAACAGAATCGCCCTACGCGTCGCCATTACAATTGCGTAAATCAGATTCATGTATTCGCCAAAGTTTAAGACGAAGAATTCAAAAAAAAAAGTTTTCGATTTTCAAAAAAATAAAATATTTATAAAAAATAAATTTTAATTAAATATATAATGTAGTATGTAATTTAATTGACTATGATTTAATTAGACCGACACAATTTCACTTTTTCAAACTAAGCTCTAATTGAAATAACAAATACTGATTGAATTTGTAGTTTTGAATATCGATTTAATTATAAATTAAATAAATAATATGATAAACTACGTATTGAGTCATCCAACTATCATTTTAATTTTGTTGTGATTACTCAATTATTTTTTTAAATCACATATAATGTTATATTTTGATTCAATTTTGGTCATCCACCGTGATACTTTTAATTTTCAATGATGATGTAATATTATCGTTAATTTTTTAATGGTGGGTTACTAGCTTATCTTAGTAGTTAAAGGAATCGTTGTTATTCTTAGAGATCATGAGTTCAAGCACCAATAACTGCAAGGGTGATTGAACGTTCATTATTAAATGGTTGAGAGTATTTAGTACATATATTACTTTGTAGTCACTCTAACTTAATAAAAAAAATGTATAATTTTGAAAAAAATATCATAGTTAGGTGATCGGTTCAAGCACCAGCAACTACAAGGGTGATTGAACGTTCATTATTAAATGGTTGAGAGTATTTAGTACATATATTACTTTGTAATTACTCTAGCTTAATAAAAAAGTATAATTTTGAAGAAAAAAACCATAGTTAGATGATCGAAACGAAACTAAAGTGATAGTTTGATGACTAAATATGTAGTTTACCCTCAAAAATATTTACGAGGGATAAAAAGGTACATTCAGGATGAGCATTGAAGTTATCTTAAAATATCGAACATGTTTTAGAAGAGGCTTGACCAAAAAGCCGAAAAATAATAATTAATAATCACATGTTTGAAATCCTAATCAAACGAGACAATAAAATATTGAAAGAAAAGTTGCAAAATTCAAGCTTAAAGAAGCCCCATTTATTCCTCGTGCTTCTAAACCCGCCCTTCGATTTTCTCGAAGACTTCAAAACCATTCTCTTATTAAGCTTAAGAATCACAGTTTCAACCACAGATCTTGAACTTTCAAAGGTTTTTGGTATTGGGTTTCCAATTATATTCTCTGATAAATATGGGGTAAAATAGTTGGATTTTCCCCCTTTTCGCCGGAAGTATGTCGGGTTCACCGGAATTTATGGTTCAGAAAACGGCGAGTTCGCCGAAGATGCCAAGCTTTACTCAAACTTGTAGCTTGTTGAGTCAGTACTTGAAGGAGAAAGGCAGCTTTGGGGATCTAACTTTGGGGATGACATGCAACGTTGAAGCTAATGGTAAGTTCTTCAATTTCTTATGATTTTCCCTCTCCTTTTTTGAGTTTTGGGTTGACGAGGAATCGTTGAATTATAATTCCGGTTGTGTTTTCCTATTCATATATGATTTAAAAACAGTTGAATAAATGAAGCTTAGTTTATTTTTCTTTTTTTGATTAATTACCAATTTTGAAGAACAAATTTTGAGGCGGTTTAATTGAATTTAGTTTCAAAATTGTGTGTGTGTCTGTTTAATTCAGATCCACAAAATCAGATTTATATTTTGACATATTCCTACTTGCAATGGTTTAAAAAGTCGAAAAAACATGCCCTCCAATCTCTCGGTCTCCCCCTAAAAACACTCAATTTTGAAAAAACAACTTGTTTAGAAGAATTAAACCATGTGCGTGTTTTCAAGGTTTCTTAGAAATTATAGGGATTTTAATAATGTATGCTTGTTTTTTAAGCAGAAAATTCTGTTTAGATCCCAACAGAATCGTAGGATGTTTCTTTATAAATGGCCACTACCTGTTCGGTTCTTGAAACATGAAACATTAAAGGGTATTCAAGGTATTGATCCGAAGAACTGTAGGATGTATGGACAATTTATTTATGGATATGGATATGTTGCAGGGGCACCGGAGACTGTGCGACCGACCATGAATTTGTTCCCTGTGGATCAGATGTCTGGTGGGAATGTTGGAGGTCCCAGGAGTTTGAAATCCATGGCTTTGTTCCCCCAAGAATCTGGTTTTTCCCTGCCGGCTCCTACGGACGATGCTCTGAAAAGGTTTGATTCTACTGTTAATAGCTCAAACAAGTGTTCTGCGATGGAGTCTGTGCCGATGACTATCTTTTACGGTGGACAAGTGGTGGTGTTCAATGATTTCCCAGCCGAGAAAGCTAAAGAAATCATGCTTATGGCTACCAAGTGCAGCTCCCAAAACAACCTGAATCTGAAAACAAACATGCTGTTTACTTCTAGCATGTCTGGAAGTCCAAACGAATCCGGAATCGGAGTTCCTCTGACCTCAAACGGCGTTCATAATCACAGGAACGACGGGACAAGTAATGAATGCGTTCAATCTGCTCAGCAGCGACCCATTCCTGGCGGTATTCCTCGTTTCTCTTCTTCGATAAAAGATGGAATTATGGTTTGTGTTACACACTTTCTTATTAGTTTTTGTCTATTGCAGATCTACCAATTGCTAGAAGGGCTTCCCTTCATCGATTCCTCGAGAAGAGAAAGGATAGGTGAGCATCTAGAGATGTATTTTCGGTTTCTACCGGAAAGTTCATACAAATCAATGTATTTGAGTTGATTTATTGATATGCTTGGTTTTGCAGGATCACCTCAAAGGCTCCATACTAGCTAAGTAACTCGACGTCCGGCTCACCATCGGAGCCCGGAAACAGCAAGTCATGGTTGGGTTTAGCTGTTGAATCACAACAGTTGGAAAGTAGTTGATATCTATTTTGAAGGCTTGTTTGTGTTCGAGTCTGCTGTCCTTTGGTTTTTGGTTTCCTTTCAGCAGGTTCATCATTTATGTCAGCTGTTTATTTTTATTTTTAAATAGTTATTAGTTGCAATGAAGACCCTAACTCGCTATTAGTTTCTTTGCAATTATTATTTTTATTTGAAGGAAAAAGTTTAGTTGATTTTATAGTTTCAATAGCAATCTTGAGTTTAATAACTTGTCTCGATCCGATGATTATTGTTACAACTTTCAATTTTCAAACATGTAAGCAAATGGCATAATTTATTAGATAATATGTTGAGAAAAAAGATCGACTCAGTTGTTGTGAGAATTATATATTTAGATAAGGTGTTTGTTAGGGTGTTGGTAGAAAAATGTGTAAATTATCTGATAATTTTAGGAAGATGTTTGAAATACTCGTCGTCGTCTTTTACATTGCTATATTGTTAGGCCCGACGTTCCGATTGCATGCAGTCTGAGAAAGACATTGTGTCTTCCCAACGACATCAAATAATTTGCACGTCTTCTGACTAATACTATAGTAAATATCTTATCTTAACAGATAATTTCTTCTATACCTTAAGTGAGTCAATTTATTTCTCACCATATTATCCAAGGAATTATGCAGAAAGCGAATTCTTAAAAAAAATCCAACAAAAGGAACATGTTTTCCGAAGGCAGGATCAAAGGGTGAACGGCTATAGATTGTGAACATTGAAAAAGCTATTACCATGGCAGTGCAATACTTTTTTTTTTTAAGAAACCAAATGGCAATGCAGTGGCTGTGGTTGTGATGAGCAATTTATGGTTATTTTATGCCTTCAAAAAGGGACTCTTTCCATTAAAAAAAAACCTCAACAAACACGCGTATTAAGACTTTTGAACACACCAATGGCACTTTAATTATCAATATAGATATAAATATTCGCAAGTTCACTACAAAATTCTTCACGTTATTCACCTAACACCACTAGGTCATATCGTCGTATTGTAAAATATATAATTTATTTCCTTCTCTATGATATTATATATTAAATTCTCACAATAAAATTTGGAAATAATGCAAAGTGAAAAACTAATTTGAAAAATATAGATGTCCGAGAATAATTTTAAAATCTAGAACTCGTGATGAGGGCATCATAATCCAACCAATTAATGAATCTTTGATTCTCACGTGCTTTGCTTTGCTTTGCTTGAATCTTTACAAAGAACAATCATTCCTTTCACTACTAAGGTAACTTGATTCGTGTATTGATACCTGGAAAGTTTAATGGATATAGTGTGATTAAAATATAATTTACTCTTAATTCTTAATGAGTCTGAACTTAATATATATTTAATATTTTCATTTATTTCGATTAATTATCTATTTCGAACTGAATTTATCAGTTATTGAACTTAAAAAATGTTCTTAATGACTAACTGATATAACATATAATTAACCAATCAATTAATCAAACTAAATTTTAATTCGATCACTTAGTTTAATTAAAACCGAATAATAAACGAGAATATATAATCCGCCACATCGACATCATATCTCTGGGAGCTTTTGGACAATGAACTCTTCAAATGTAATAGAAATGTAGGGTTGAAAATCTGGGCCCGGGCCGTCCTATTAAAGGGTCTAGTTGCCTCCAAAATTTTAGGACCCTAAATTGAATATTAATGCTTGAGCTCTCCAAAACTATTATTGATTATCTCATGCACGTAAACACTCTCTAATTTTTAACTTTCTATAATTTTTAGGAGCTCTCAATAATGGCTAAGGAAGTTTGACAAAAATGCTTTCCCTTATTTAATAATTCAATTATATAATACTTTGACACCTATATAATTGGTTTCCATTTAAATCCACTCAAATTATTTGGTAAATTTGACATGCAAACTACTTCATTTGCTTACTTTATAATTTCATCCTTAAACTTTCTTTTCATTTTAGTCACTTCTTTAAAATCCATTAATTTTCATTTAGTTTATTTTAGTCCTTCATCGATATTATGGTTAATAACTATCCATTCATCTATATAACTAAAATCTCAATTAAACTATCAAAGAAAGTAACTTTTAAATTATTTATTAACTTTCAGATTTTTGGTTATTAGATATAAATAAATCTTCGGTATCAAAATTTAGGGTGTTATAAATTATAATTTTCCCCTTAAAAGGTTCGTCTTTGATTTTTCTCAAATGAGGCAAATTCAAACTTAATGTTGACGATGTTTCGAAATTCAAACTTAATTTAGGGTGTTATAAATCAATACAAATGATGTCTTACGAAAGAAAGAAAAAACACTAAGGTTCAAACATCTGACCTTACTTAAAAAATCTTGTGTCTCATCCCACTAGACTAATGTTTGTTGGTTAATCAACATATTTAAAAGAGTAATTACCTTATTTTGTTTGAAAAGATCTAAATTATCTGAATTCAGAAAAGGCTAGACACGTGAATTTATAATCAACAGTTGGAGGATAATAATGCTTTGATGAAAAAAGACACGTGGGAAATCTGAATTAGGTAACACTATTTTGTCACTAGTAATTACTTTTTTAAGGGTAAACTATATAAATGGTCCCCTAACTATAGAGTGTTGCTTTGTTGAATCCCTCAATTATGAAAAGTTACAAAATGGATATGACACTGAATTGTTGAGTTCCCTGACTATTAAAAATGATAAAATGGTCACCCAACTATTCATATGTTCCAGCAAAACAATACCCTATAATCGAGAGATCATTTTGTAACTTTTAATAGTTAGGGGATTCAACAAAGCAATGTCGTATAGTAAGTTTGAATTGATTGTTCTCACTTGTAGGTATATTTATTGTGGACAAACCGTTAGATTTTGGCCAACTTTATTCATAGGCTTGATGATGAAAAGCAATCCAAAAAAAGAAAAAGAAAAATCCTCGTGTTGAAATACAAGGAGCAGCCCTAGGAACAGTGTTCATATGACTTCTACTTATTATTGCCTTTTTATCATTATTTTAGTCAAATTTATCATAGACGGAGACACAATTCTTGTCTTTTTTTTAATAAAAAAAGGTTAAATTATGCTTTTAATTATTTATACACTAGGTAAAATATAAATTTTAAATTTAAATAGAAAATAAAATAAACATTCATATCATTCAAATATATGTTTTGATTTTCAAAGAGATATAAATGATTTGGGGTTGCTTTCAACATCTTCCTTTCCTAATAATAAGGATTTTCAAAGATTTAGATTCTAATTTCCTAGCACGCACTTTCCCTTTTAAGTTTTGTTGTTATTATAAAAATAATAATATGCATATATATATATATATAGTGGTGGGTGTACATTGAATTTAACGCGAATAATTGTTTATTTTGAAATTTAAATTTTTATTATTATTTATTTTATTGATTATGTTCACTTTTTAAATGTGAATTTTTTTATTTTAATAATTTTATGATGTTAATATATATATATATAAATATTTTTTAGATCCATCATTATCTATACATGTCATATTTTATATTTTTATATTAATATATAATATTAAAAATATGTGTTATCGTTGTTAGAAGCTTAAAAAATCCACGAATGAAATCAGGGCCATAAAATTTTACAGCGCCGCAATATTTTTGATGTCTGGTTATTTGTCATAAGATCTATGACGACAGTGATTGAAGAATCTAACTGACTAAGGTTATGAAGAAAAAGAAATGTCCACGTGCCAACTTAGCTAATCTTATAACAAAATCTTTTCTTGATATAACAAAATGTGTCGAATTTTCACTATATAATGTACGTGGAATGAGTTCAATAAAAAATGACATTAAATCTGTTTTTTAATTAATTTTTTTGGATAATCTAATTTCATTACTAAGAAAGCAGGAAGCCTGCTACAAGAAACCAGATCTTTATATAAATCAACAAATACCTGCTAAGCTAAAAAGCCATCAACTAACAGTAAAGCTATACAACCAGTCAACAAATGAAACAATAAAGCAGAGAGTCTATAAATCTCACGAGATACCCCAACTTAAACAGAGGGCAGTGTTCCTCGAGTCAATTCTGTTGATAGGCCAGCCACTCAATATAATCCGATTAGCTTCTCTAATATCCTCAAGAATTTCATCCATCAGTCTAGCCTTCCCTCCAAACAATCTGATGTTTCTCTCCGTCCAAATGCCATACACATAGCCCGTCAAAGCGAGCTTAAACACTATCGCAATGAGAGACTTACCCTTAAATTAAATTTAATATATGTAAAATTTTATTAAACTGAATCAGAGTACAAATATTAAATTAGATCAATTTTGTTGATGTTTAACTGAAAAAATAATAATTATAGATATCGATAATAATTTATTCCTTTTATTTTTTATAATCTAAGATAATTACTCTAAAAGAGCAAAAGAAAACTCTCAAAAGAAGGAGAGAGAGTGAGAGAAAGATCCTTCATGCATGGGAGAGAAGTCATGGAAGGACCCATGTAATATGTGGGAGGGAGAATGCTCTCAACTTTGGTGGTATAATTATTTTTTAAGTTGCTGATAATTTTAAAACTATTACAATTAAGTATTTGTTTCTCTAATTTCTTCTGATATAATTATTTTTAGGAAAAATATTAGTTTTATAATTAATAGAATTAAATCTTGACATCAAATTTGTCTGATTTAATTATTTTTTGAGACATTTGAATCTTAAAATTAATGAAATCAAACCCTTAATCTCTTAAATTTTTAGGGTTTGTATAAAACTCATAGCTCTGTCAATTTTAAAACTGTATACAAAGAAATTGAATTTTAAAATACTTTGTTGATCAGAGATGTTAAGGATCCTAAAATACACACGTTGACTAAAATGTTTAATTATCATACTTATTTTACAAGATTCAACTGAGATTCCTCTCGATGATTGTAATACATCCTACCCGACTTGAACGCTCGATCGAATAGATGACATCATATCTGGACGATAAACTAATTTCAAAAGCTTTTAGAACTTACAATAAGCATTCTCAAAAACAGGGATCAAAATATGCAGGTGCAAAATTTCAAGAGTCTATTTGAAAAGAAACCAAAATTCAGTTGAGACTTTAATTATACGTAAATTGAATAAAAGACATCGGTACTTTACTTTGAATATCGATACTCCCTGAAAGATATCGATACTGAAGAAATATACCTATATCAATTTTGATTATTTAAAAAGAAATTTGAACAATTTGATAAGACATTGATATGTATTTATATAGTATGAATACCTTACAAATAAATTATAAAATATGCAATTTAATTTACCTAGAACCCTATAAATAAAATACGAAAACAGAATGCATCTATTTGGAACACACTTGAAATCTTCTTAGGTGATATATTGGATTCCTGTGAAGATTTTAACATGCTGAGTTCTAAAAGTGCACTTAATCAAACTTTACATACAAATTGCTCCTTTACTTTTATCGATATTGCTTTTAAAAAGTGATCTTTAAAAATAATGTTAAAAAATGTTTTAAAAATGATTTTTTAAATTAAGTCTAAGATTTTTGTGTTCAGTATTGTTGTTAAAAAAGTACTTTTGAAAGGATAAAATATTCATTTTAGACATGACATTCTAAATTAAAAACAAGTTAATTTAATTGATATATAAATTATTTAATATTATGATATATAAAATAAACCAATTTAAATTACAAAAATATAAAAAATTATGACATTTCATTAATATTTTTTTAATATATAAAATAAAAAATTTAAACTTTTCTAAGTATTTAATATGAATTGTGGACTTAAATGAAAAATTAGTCTTTAATTGCACGAGTCTAATATGTTTAATATTTCTAAGTAATTAATATGTTTTGGACTATAAATTATGTTTGCACAACATTTAATATCAATAAATTAAATAATTAAGGATAAAAATATAATTTCATTTGATTTTTGACATCAAAAAGCTAGAAATTGTAACTTTTAAGATGAAAAAGTAATTTTCTATTCATGATTTTAACTTTAAAAAAAATTAGTTAACCCTTACTCCCATATGTAATGGGATAAGGGGGAGGTAGAATAGTAGGCTGCCCCAAACGTCAGGTTTAGAGCAACTTCCGTAGGAGACCTTCAAATTATGAAATGGCCTCCGTGAGACTCGATCCTACAACCCCAAGATTAAGAGCCTTATGCTCTACCAACTGAGCTGGATGGTCATTTCATAATTTTAACTTTAAAGTGTTTGACATTACTTGTGAGATGGAAAGAAACTTTTTCACCTTGAAAAGCACACTTTTAAATAAAAAGATTCCTAAAGCAAAATTTAACGTATTGAGTAATTTAACTGAACATGACATTTACAGAAGTAAATTTCTCAAAACTTATCAAAGACTTATAAATCATAATAAAAAGAATACCAAGTTATATGATTCTATGTAGAGGTCTATATTACATGAAAAGAAAATTGTATACCTCCAATAATTCTATGTAGAGATCTTAAAGATGATAAGCGATACAATTAGTAAGAAGTATATATAAAAGATTTAATATAATATACAATGTAAATAATTAATATACTAGTTTGTTTGTAGCAGTTAATTTGCTTCTTGGGATAATACAATAACTTATCAAAAAAGATTAAAGATATTTTAATTTAAGAATCAATTGACATGTTTTAAAATTTAGTAATAATTTGGGGACTCTAGTGTAATTAACCCAAAATAAATAAATAAAACAGCTGTAGATGAATTTGGGCACGAGTAATACAAGGCCCACGTGGTGGAAAATATTTTTTTCTCCCGGGTACGTAATAGTTACAGCATTACGCCACGTGTCCGTCCTTTAGCGTTTTACGGCTTGTAAAATCCAAATCAAACGCGCCTCACTTTCTTTGACTGATCACTCTCCGGTCAGAGTGTCATCACTTCTTCCTCAACCTCCGCCACTCCACGTATAAATTAGAGCCGCAAATTCCCATATTTTCTCAAACCAAAACCATCAAATCTCTTACTGTAAGTATTTTAACAATTCCCAAGATAGAAAAAACAAAACTCCAGGCCCAACAATGGTGAAGCAACACGTAAGCCAGAGCCATGATGCGACCGAGACCCAGAGAATCCATTCGCGATTCAAGGGTGCTCGAAAGCGAAAATGGGGGAAATGGGTGTCGGAGATCAGACTACCCAACAGTCGGGAAAGGATTTGGCTGGGATCTTACAACACCGCCGAGAAGGCGGCACGAGCTTTCGACGCTGCTCTTTTCTGTTTACGCGGCCGTTCTGCTAAGTTCAACTTCCCAGATAATCCACCGGATATAGCCGGTGGAAGGACTTTGACGACGTCAGAAATCCAAGCAGTCGCAGCACGTTTTGCCAACTCGGAGCCTCCGATGACCCATTCGGAGCAGTACACCTATGGGTTTCAAACTGAACCCCCTTCGCCGTCGGTTTCAGTCGACACAGCAAGGTACGACGGTGAGTTGTCCGTTGACGGGTCGTTTCTGGATGCTTTGAAAAAGGGTTCGGGTTATGGGATATTTCCCGAATTGGATGACTTTTCAATTGATTTTCTGGGATCATTGATGCCTGAGATCGAGTGTGAAGAAGATAATCTTGACGAGATTTCAAATCCAGAATATTTTCTTTGGAATTTCTGAACTTGAACCAAATTCTAGGCACTTTAATAACCAAATATATATTTGGAGGGGGCAATTTTTGTACGTCCCATATACTTTCTGCTAATGTATTATATGAATAATATTGTATTGAAAGTATAATTTAATCGAAGAAGAAACGTAAAGCAAAGCTTTGTAGTAGTTTTTCTTCATCTCTCCATCTATCGTTTGTGAGATATGAGAGCGGATCATGCATGAGAATTGTTAGTAATTTTATTGTAGTAAGCATGAGAGAGTTTGTGAGACATTTTCCTTGAGAGCTTTATTATTCTTTTTGGATATAATAAAGTTTTAAAACGTCCCAAAGTAGGAGTATGAAATTGGTTTAGCTCAAAAGTTCTTTATATAAACAATGTAAAGTTACTTCTACCTAACACTAATAATTATTGGTATAAGGTGTGTTCTTGTACAGTATCACTTTTTACTTGGGAGTATCAACTGATATTACGTGGTGTAATATTAGATTTTCATATAAGATGTAACGCCCTTAAGTTTCTTGATTATCGAAATCATAAATATTGAACTTTAAACCCCAGACTTTGTCTCAATATTATAGAACTTTGAAGAAATGTCAAGAATCAGGACTCTGATTGCACAAACGTGAAGAATGAAGGATTCGATTGTAAAAAAAAAGGCAAAATCTTTATGGCAAAGCGTGTAAACCAAAAGTAGATATTAATACATTATTGAGAGTATAGATACTTATGGTAAGATATTGATAAAGGTATTTTGGTCTATAAAGATGGTCTAGTCATTTTCCTTGACTCAAGGGCACACTAGATATCCATAGGACAAGAACAAGAATCTTAATTATTAACCATGGATCTTATAATTTATCCATTCATTTTTTTTTGCTTTTAACCTCTACCATTAATCAGGGTATTTTAGTAATTTACTATCAATTACTCGAATATCATGTCATGTTATCATATCAATCCATTATCCATTACTCAAATATCATATCATGCAATCATATCAGACCAACAAAGCATTAAACTTATGAAAGTCATGAAACACTTCAATATTCGAGGTGTACTAATCTTATTCACATGACTTGACATCATTCACCTTCGATTTTGTGACGATAATGCACTTCTAATGATACAAAATTTCGATTTGATATCCTCAAATAGATAGAAATAACGCCATACATTAATAACGGGATAATACATATGATATTCAAATAAAACAGATCGAATAGGAGAAGCTAACGCTAAAACTCAACTCACTTGTCAAAGTCAACGCGCTCAAAAGTCAAAGTTAATGTGATGAACGAGTCAACTCGGCTTAACAACTCGGTCACTTATCTAGATAACTCAGTGTCTCGGCTCAACAACTCGTCTAGACGGCGCTTGGCTTAACTAGATAGCTTGGTGTCTCGGTTTAATGGCTTGACGAAACGGTTCAGTGATTCGACTCAATGGCTTGATTTAACTCATTTAGGTTGGCTCGATCAAACTGAGCCAGTGACTAGGCCTTCAAAGTAGGTCGACTATTGGACAAACTACTGGGTCATCAGGTGAGCTTGGCAGAGTAGAGTGGGCTCACACTATTGGGCTCTCATGTGGGTCTATTGCTACTGGGCTAGCATCTCAAGCTCAATAGTTTTAGATTTTTTTATTTTGTCTAGGATCGACAGGGATTATTGAAGGCACCAACACCAATGAGAAACTCACCGGCAAAAGAGACGTACGATGATCGTTCTTTTCCCAATAATGAAGAAAAAAATTAAATGGAGGGAATATGAGAAGAGAAAAAAGAGAGGGAGAAAGAAAAGAGATCTCATTGGTGACAGTTGGATCTACAACCATGACGTTGAGGTCAACCTTCGAGTAAAAATCATCTTGAACGGAGAGTTGATGTCAATAGATGGCAACCGAAAATCACCTCGCGACGGCTAGGAGTAGCATGCAAAAAAAAAAAAAAAAAGAAGGGGAAGAAGGGGGGAAAGAAACTTAAACGGCCAATCAAACGGGATAAAAATGACATATTTGCTAAAATTTTCTTGTTTATACTTGGGACTTAAATCAACCTAATTTATGACTTTAAACCAAGAAGAATTAAGTACGAACCAACCGCACTATTTTATGGATTTTTTTTTTATAAACCTGGGTGGAAATTCATCTTAGTTCTTATCACACATGTGCTTTTATATTTTACGGATCAAAGGAGGAATTCTAACGCTCGACAAATCTCGCAATTAAATGAATGTAATGTGGTGTAACGTGGCTGCGTCACATCATAGATTTAGAGAAGTTGACACATTTAGTTGAAGATTGGTTGTTTTAACATTTATCTTTCGAGGAATGTGTAGGATGATCCGAGTAAAAACATTATCGAAAGATGTCTTCTTCATCTTAAATTTTGGGCGTGATATCACATGTTTTTTTTATGCTCACGTGTTGACAAATCATTTGTCTTCTCTATCATATTTAGATCATTCCATTTCTTATTTGACACATAAATAAGTAATTATTCAAATGATATTTTTTTGTTATAGTTAATGTAAATATTTTTTTCATGTTAAAGAAATGGTAAAAGAAATTTAAGTCATCGTGATATCTCGAAGAAAGTTCGAGATATCAAGTTATTGATCAAGCATAAAATAGGATTAGAGGAGTGTTTTAATAATTAAAATTTTCATATTATGGTTCCAATAGATGTCTTATTTAAATATAGGATTAACGGCTTGAATTCCACTTGAGCCGAATGGTTAATGAGATGTATGATAAGCGATTGTGCCTCTTATATGTTACATTATTGTTGAATGACATAGAAGTGATCATGTTCTTTGTCAGTTTGGTTTCTATTTAGGTCTATTCCAGGACCAACTATTGACTTAGATAATTTACACAAAGTTGATAGATGATGTGAGACACGTTATGATCGTATTCCCAATCACCATTTTTCCCCCCAAGTCTTGATATGATGATTTCGAGTGATTACATGAGATGGTTCATGCAACACGGGAAGCCATATCTACTATCTGATTTAGAATGAACCAGATCTATAAGCGTCCTCCAATGCAACATCATCATCCCACAACTAATTAAAAAAGAGCGAAACCTTTCGATTTGTCCTCATCATTACCATTCAAAGTAACACATCATACACCATTGATAGTACTGTTGCAATATTCACCATATTGTATTCCACCAGTGTCGAGTTCATGACAAAATTATTATACACTCAAGATATCATATCCAATATTTGCATTGTATTCATCATATTTGACATGTACTATTCCACCGTTCTGTGAAATTCATTCACAAAGAACTTATCGCCACACAATATTTTTTTTATTGTTTGTCAGTATTGTTATTTTTTTCTTCCATAATACTACATTTTTTAGTTATTGTAAATATTTTATTCATGTTATAAAGATTTTGTTTTTATTTTATTTTATCCATTATTCTTTTAATATTCATTTTAAACACGGTTTTTATATTATTTGATACAAATAAGTTGCTGATATTTAAAATCTTTAAAGAAAATAATATTCTATTTAATCACTAAAACTATTTGATGAGTTATAATCATAAATAAATGTTAAAATAGATATTATATTTTAACAACTGATATTTAATAAATAGGCCAAGCAGTGGAGACTGACGTAAACATGTTTGGGGAAATCAATTTGTCAAATTTTACAAATCAAATATAAAACACAACAAAACTGTCCTATTCAGCTTTATTAATTAATTAATCAATAATGTTTAAACTTATTGTTAAATACACAAAGTTCAAAGAATGGTTCATACTTTTTTTTCATAATAATTATTTAATTTTAGGTTTGAATTTTGAGTTTCTTTGCTATGGTTGGTTCGATACTTCCAACGTTTCATGTATTTGATCTGCCCACTTGTTTAATATTATCCAAAAATTATTTTTCTGTCTATTATTTATTTATTTTATAGTTAAGAATATAATTTCACATTTGTTTGTAACATATCATTAATTTAAATATATTGTTAATGTATAAATTTATATAAATATGAAGGATGTGATGATAGTTTATTTTATTGTTAATTGTTTTTATAATAAAACGATCAATTATTATTATCAACAGTAAAAACTTTTATTTTGAAAAGAAATTTAGATAATAATTTTAAGTTAAGAAAATAATAAAATAATTAAACTTTCTTTTTAAAAAATAATGGATAAACTACACATTTAGTATCTAAACTATTACTTTTGTTATGTGATAGTAGTCAAACTTTATTTTATTTCAAAATCATACCTAAAGTTTAATTTAGATTTCAAGTTGGTACTCTACCGTTAAAAAATTAACAGAACTGTTGACGTAATATCTTTTAATTTTTCAATGATGACGTGACATTACCTTATGGTGACACGTCAATATCACCGTTAAGTTTTTAACTGTAAGGTAACAAAATGAAATATAAACTAAACGTTTGATATGAATTTGAAATAAGATAAAGTTTGGGTACCAAAAAAAAACAAAAGTAATAATTTAGGTACTAAATGTGTGGTTTACCTAAAAATAATTTATTTCTGATCTGCTAACAAATTAAAAAAAATCCTTGTTGCTGCTATATTGTTGGTATTAATTATCAGTCGAGACTCTCTCAGCAGAGAATAAGCAAATAAAAGAGAGAGAAACAAGTACTTGCCTGTCTGAGATTTTCCAGATTCATAGTTTTTTTTTCCGAATCGAATGCAATCGAGCAGATCGTTTCTTCTTCTTCTTGTATATTTTCATTTTTGGTCACTTCTTTTTTATGGTGATGGGCTACTAGATTTTGATTAAACTCACATTAAGAGTCTATCTTTGTCCAAGCCCAATTTCTCAAACTCTTTTATATTCAGTTTTTATTTGCTTTTTGGTGATGGCTTCTTCATCTTTGGCTAGTCCGCTCTGTAAGCAGTCACAGTCTCCACTGCTACATTCATCAGTCTCTTCTTCTTCAAAGAGAGACGGTTATTGGGCTTGTAATAGAAGGAAATCTCTTATTGCTCCATGCAGCGCCGGTTCACCCAGAAGCAAAACCGGTGGTTCGGTTTCTTCATTTTGTGGATCACGATTTCAAGGCTTGATGATGACTTACTGCTTGGCTTTTGAGCCCTGTAATGACTACCATTCCTCCAAAACTGGTCTAAATGGAAGCTCCTCGTCTTTTTTTGGATCAATAAATGTTTCCTTCAATAATAATCGCAACCACTGGAGGATCAACCGGGGAGCTGCCCGTTCTGGTAAAATTTTAGCGGCTTTAGGAATCTGGGTTCTTTTGCCTTTTCGTTATTTTTATTTGTTTAATATCTGACAAGAGTTTAGTCTTCTTTATGATGTATTTAATTTCTTTTGTTGTTTGAATTTGACCCTTCCTCACATAAGTGTGTGCGTGTGTGTTTTTTTTTCTTTATGTATACACATGCACGCGCACGCACACACGCGCGCGCTCACACACACATATCCTGTTGAACAAAAAATATATATTTCCTTTCTTTAATTGCATTGCTCAAAAACAATTTAGGAAATGAAATTGAAAGGGAAAAAAAGGCTACTTGAATATAGAGTATATTGAGGTTTTTTCTCAAATAATATAAATTCTAAGGAAAAACCTGTTACATGGACTTAGGTGTGAGTATTTAGGGTAAGTTGGTGTAGGCTGGTAGAATTTATTGTCCTGTTTTGGTGAGCATCCTAGTATTTATCTTCTTATGGATTAGCTGCCTCCTTGATATCATATAGGAACATATTTGTTTTTGCTTACCGAGTCTCTTGGCTTTTCTATGCATATGTGATTGTTTGTCTATGTTTCTCCATATCTGCTATATGGTGGTGATAGTGAGCATAAATTTCTTCATGCACCGAATTTACTATAACTTACTGGTTAAATTATGTGTAACTGTAATTGCGGGTTAAACATAGTAGAAGCCATGGCTATAGCTGTGCAACCTGCAAGAGAAATCATGATAAAGCAGAAACCTCCTACGAAGCAAAGACGGGTTGTTGTGACCGGGATGGGAGTGGTAACTCCACTTGGCCACGACCCCGATGTCTTCTACAACAATTTGCTTGAGGGTGCCAGTGGTATAAGTGAAATCGAGGCTTTTGACTGCGCCCAGTTTCCTACTGTAAGTTGTGTTTTGGATCTTTCATCTGCTGTTATTTGTACAAGTGCTTGTTCTTAGTGCTCTAATTTTCTTTCTCCAGAGAATTGCTGGAGAGATCAAATCTTTGTCAGCCGATGGATGGATTGCACCAAAACTTTCCAAGAGGATGGATAAGTTCATGCTTTATATGCTTATTGCTGGAAAGAAAGCCTTGGAAGACGGTGGAGTAACTGAAGATGTAATGGAGGAGTTAGATAAAGAGAAATGTGGAGTTTTGATAGGTTCAGCAATGGGTGGTATGAAGGTAAATTCTGAGTTTATAGTTTATAACAAATCTATTTAGTAATATATGGTGGCAACAAGACATCGAGTTGACCTTAAAACACGATTAAGGAACAAACTCCTTTACAGTGTAGCTTTTCTTTGTTTATCCATTGATTCATATAGCAGGTTTGTGGGATGAACAGGTTTTCAACGATGCAATTGAAGCTTTGCGGATTTCATACAAGAAGATGAATCCATTTTGTGTACCATTCGCTACTACAAATATGGGTTCCGCGATGCTAGCAATGGATTTGGTTAGCCTAAATTTTAGATTCTGCAATACAAGAAGTGTATTTTGATGGAAGTTCAAAATTTGAACTTCAAGCTTTAAACTGATGATTTCTTCAGGGATGGATGGGTCCTAACTATTCAATCTCCACTGCGTGTGCTACAAGCAACTTTTGTATATTAAATGCAGCAAACCACATGATTAGAGGCGAAGCTGTAAGTTGAGCAAAGAAAAAATTCCAATATATCATTAAATAATCTGAATGTGCTATATCTGAGGTGTTTGAAACAAATTGTAGGACATGATGCTCTGTGGTGGCTCTGATGCTGCAATTATACCCATTGGTATCTCTTTTTTGCTTTCTTATCTAGTGCATTTATAATCTTTCAACTTGCTACAAGCAGACGTACTCTGTTTTATGATTCTTTAAAATTCAGGGTTGGGAGGATTTGTGGCATGCAGAGCACTCTCTGAGAGGAATGGTGATCCTACCAAAGCTTCACGCCCATGGGATGTTGTAATGTTTCAATAAATTTTGAGAATCCGGACCTTCGTTTTTCCTTTTGCTGTGGGTTCTATATACATATCAAATAAAAGAAATAAAACTGAGAATGAGTTAACGAAGTAACAACATTTAAACTCACGATAACTATTTTATCATTTGAATATGTAAGAGCCTTGTTGTTTTGTTATGGAAAATGGAGTCTAGTACCTCGTGCCTTATAACTCTTTTAGGTCACAACACTATGAATTAAGTTATACATCTGAAAACAGTGCTTTCAGCAAATTTACTGTGTATATATTGAGTGCTTTCTAATCAAAGGCAGTTATTCAGTGCAAATCAATTTTCAGTCCAGTTCATGCATTTTTTACTTTGATGATGATCCTAATTTTTTTGCACAGAATCGTGATGGATTTGTCATGGGGGAAGGTGCTGGGGTTCTGCTTTTAGAAGAATTGGAACATGCTAAGGTACACTGCTGTTAACCCTACAAGGCCCTGAGCCATAAGTTTTCACCTACCGGCTACCGTTTCTAGTGAATTTACCAAAAATGTAGATTAAGATTGTTGCTTGATGGAAGATTTACCTATTTTTGGTTTCTAATTTTGCAGAGGAGAGGTGCGACCATCTATGCAGAATTCCTAGGTGGGAGCTTCACTTGTGATGCCTATCATATGACTGAGCCACACCCTGATGGTAATAAGCCACATCTTTATTATTACAATTCTTTCTTTCTTAATCTGTATTGTCTTGCTATGTGGTATTTCATTGTAGAGCTTTAGTTTCAGTGAGAAAAAAAATCTTGCACGACATTTTTATGATAATAATTCTGCATAAAATAGAGTTAAGACGAACTTTAGATCAACATCTTGATCTATTGTTCTCAACTTTGATGCTAGACGACCAGTCATATTTACATTCTTCTGCTAATTCTCTGTGATGGCAGTGCTGCAAAGATAAGGTTGGAACTTGTCTACATAAGCAGTAGTTGACTTTAGCCTTTTTTAGGCTTTTGGACATGTCTTTAGTTTCCCGCTCCCGCAGCAGCACATGATACTGTTATGAAAGATTAAACTGACATTCATCTTGTGAAATCTGAAAATAGGAGTTGGTATCGTTCGCTGCATAGAAAATGCCTTGGCTCAGTCTGGAGTATCTAGAGACGATGTAAATTATATTAATGCCCATGCTACATCTACACCAGCAGGAGACGTTAAAGAGTACCAAGCTCTCCTACACTGTTTTGGCAAGAATTCCGAGGTTATTGGCCATACTTTTCTCTAATGGTTTGATCTTTGTGTATGTAACCTGTTTTCAATATTTCTGCATTGTGATTATTGATGAGATCTATGGTTATGACCAGTTAAGAGTGAACTCCACAAAATCAATGATTGGTCACCTACTGGGAGCCGCTGGTGCTGTGGAAGCTGTTGCATCAGTACAGGTGTGTGATTTAGAGATTTCGTTATCCTTTTATGTTGGATTTAGAAAACGGGTTTTGTGGCTGTAATTTTGTTCTTTTGGTGATGATTTTTTGTTGGTTGGGTTCTGTTCTGTACACAAATAATACCCTTGCTTTCAGTATATATATATATACACATACATATATATTCATGCCTATATGGTATGACAACATCATTCACAGTTACCATGTTTCGTCCCATTCTGTGTCGTTTTTCTTCTTCTTTCATTTTCGGAATCTGAACACCAACCTGGTAATCTCTATTTCTTTTGTAGGCAATAAGGACTGGTTGGGTTCATCCAAACATTAACCTGGAAAACCCGGACGAAGAAGTGGTATGTTTCCCCTTCTCCTCATCCTTTGATGTTTTCTTTAAAGTTGTGCGTTGCAGCAGTTTTTGCTTCATGACATCTTTCTAAATCGAACTTTGTCTTTTCCTTTCTCTTCTCCCCTTGATTTACTAATGTCACTATCCTATGTATGCCAACAACACATCTAATGCAGGACAGAAATGTGCTTGTTGGACCAAAGAAAGAAAGACTGGATGTTAAGGCAGCATTGTCTAATTCTTTCGGGTTTGGCGGCCACAACTCCTCAATCATATTTGCTCCTTACAAGTAACCATATAGTTCAAGCATCGATCATCCTGTGTTTTATTATATGTTGGATTAACCGAAGGTACGCAATGCCGATCTGTGTAAATTTCAGCAGCTGTTTAGTTAGCAAACTGTTAAGATAATGTTGAGGACTCAGGGAAGCCTTGTCTCGGTCCTGGAAAAGGGTTGTTATCGGGAGTAAGGTAACACACCTAACTGTATGGATCTAGTTAAGGAGGAAAGATGATGTTTAGAGTTCATTGTTGTGTTTTAAGATTTCTTATTTCGCCTCAATTTAAAGCTGCAATGAAGATTTTGGTCATTTAGTTAATTTGCGTCACTGAACCACAAAGTGTTTTCACGTTCCTGCATATGTTGAAACCAAACAAACATTACAATCACGACATGATTTAAAAACAACATAAACATTTGTAAGAAATCTAAATCAAATCCATTGATCATCAAGGATTCAACTGGTTTCTGCGGCGACTTTCATCAAGCCTATTAATCATATACAGAGCATTACTGGTAACCTTAGCCACATTCATGATCATCTTCTTCACATCAGATTTCACCTTCCCATCAACTCTTTTAAACCCATCGAGGCATGTGTCCTCGTTTGTCAATGCCGCGCTTGTCCATGTCTGTGCATTACTCATCTGGAACCTGAACGTTTCCCCTCTCAAGCGCGTCAACTCACCCAGTGTCCTGCTCAACCCGTCCACTGATTCGGCTACCTGCTCCACACAGTCACTCAGTGCAGCTCGTTCCCTCTTGCTCTTCCCTGTCACACTCGCGGATGTCAAGTAGCTAGACACTCTGCGGACACGGGAGAGGCTCACTTTGACGGCGGCCTGGGCTAAGTCTCGTGGGGTGTTGGCAGGGCCAGAGTAGGAAGATAGTGTGAGGAGGCAGAGCCCTGGGTAGCTTGCATGAACACACGATGATCGTACCAGATCTTGCGGTGAACCATGATTCGAGACGGCAGAGAGGAGAGGGAGGAAAACAGAAAGTATAAAGAAAGGGATCTTCATCGTTACCGAGTGTGTTGTTTAAGTGAGTGTATGCTTGGCGAGGTTCAGCTGGGGAACTAGATTTATAGCTAGGGATGGAACGTTGGTGCTATAGAACCTAATGTGAATTAGGTTGGAAGTTTAATTAAAATTAAGGGTTTTTAACCTTGAGGTCGTGGGATCGAGTCCTATAGAGGGCATTTCATAATTTGGACGTCTCCTACGGAAGTTGCTATCAACCTAGTGTTGAGAGCAACTTACTATCTTATCTCCCCTTACCCCATTACATATGGGAACAAGGGACAATTTTTTTTTTTAAGTTCAAGTTTAGATAATAAAATTTAAAATAAATTATGAAAATTCAGTTTTTTTATAATATAAATGAGTTTAATAAACAAACAGACATTTTTGGTTATATTTCGTATAATTTTCTTAAACTTTTTATAGAACACACCAAAAAGGTGACAATTTCTTCCACTTGACAGTCTTAGTAGAGAAGATTAAGTGGATGGGTCAGAAAGTGTGATTTATTATTGTTATTATTTTAAATGTCATAAAGTCAAGGAAAAATGGTTGATTAACCTGCCCTTGGTCCGGAGCATGTGAAGCTGGCCCCTATTAAGGACACAGTTTTCACTTTTATTTTTCTAGTTACAGCAGGACGCCTTTAACACATTATAGTTGGTGGCTCAAGTCTTAATGCTCAGTATTTATTATTTCTTGTTGATAGAATAAGGTGGCTAAGACCGGTATAAGTGATTTTCTTGTTTTAATTTGAATAGAAAATTATAAATGGTGATTAAATAAACGTTGGTTGATGTTAAAATCCTTTATTTTTATAAAAAGAAAAGTAAGATATTTTTCTAGGACTTCTACTGCAGAGTTGTTCTTCGGAGATTGATCTTGTAAAGGAGGTATAACATACCTCCTTAGTCGAGAAAATACCACAAAATGACTTAACTCGGGATTTATATGTAAAAGTATTTTTTTTCATTTAATTGGTTGTTTTTTCTTTACAAACATCGTAATGATTGCATTTTACAGATTAGTCATAACTCTAGTTATAACCCTAAATCCTAAATTTGTATATTAAATTGAAAATATTTATATGAAATTTCATATAACTATTTTCATTACACTATCTAAATTATATATATATATATATATATTCGTCCTGACTAATTTAGATCAACCTGAATCATTCATCTAATTTTAGTAGGTGAATATTCCAACAGAGATTTTCTGCTTACATAAAGTCTCAAACTTGAGACTTACTTAAGCTATATCAAACTGATTATCACTTGAACCAACCATATTAATTATAAAAATTATATTTAACATGATATTGATATAATTAGTATATTAAATAATAGTTAAAAATACATAAGTAACTCTCTTGTTTTTACTTCTATCATTGTATAAAATAATTCTTTAAGTTGATTTTTTTAATGATTAAAAATAATTATTAATCTATTTAAAAATATATATTCTAGAGTTGGAAATTCATCCATAGACGGTGATTATGCTTTCCATCAAGTGTCAATCATAATGTTATTCTTTCCATCAACGCTTGCAATCTAAGCTCTTGTATAAAAAATAAAATTTAAACTCTAATCAATTTTATATTTATATGGAACTCATTAAAGAGCGTGTGTGCATTAAGAAATATTATGAACAAATATTACTTCGAATTAGACAATACAAACACTCGTCTAACACCAAGAACACATGTGCGAGTAGCAGATGAAGGGAAAGAAGAAAAAGAAGAAACATATGATTTTACAGACTTTGAAGCATTTTTAAGGTTTCATCGATATGTTTCTCGGGCTGGAACTGGTTGTTGTAAATGAGTTGAACCACCCCTTTCTTGTCAATAACATACGTCTGTCTTCCTGGCAATGCTCCGAACAGATCGGATGGAACTCCCCACTCTTTCCTCACATTGTTCCCCTCATCACTCAGCAATGTATATGGAAGCCTGTACTTCTTCGCAAAGGCCTTGTCAATTCAAATACAATCATTGTCAGTCCTTCAACCAATCTTCATCACATTACTATCTTGCAATGATTGTAAAAGTATAAATCTTATAATTGTCAGTCCTTCGAGGTATTAGCACTGATAAAACTATTTAAATAAATAGTAAAAGGTGGGAATAAATTATTATATTGTGGTAAATTATTGTCTTAGAAGTAAATTTATCTTGATGTGTATAATCTTTACAATGAATGAATAACTCTAAGATTAGCACGATCTCTTTAAAGATTCATACACTCTGAAACTAGAACGGCTTCAGTAATGTTGGTCTTCTCTAAGAAACAAAACGTGGAAGAAACTAGGAAACTTTTGTAAATGAAAACGTTTGAGAAATAACTCATTTTTTGTGATACCTTGTGTGATTCTGAGGTATCAACACTTATTCCAATAACTTCAGCTCCTGCTTTCTTAAACTTCTCGTAAGAATCTCTGAAAGCACACGCCTGCCCAAGTTTCACTAATTTCATTACTAAAATCCAAGCATCATTCAACAGGAGATTTCATTACTGAAATCAAGGCAACAATGGCTTCCACAAAAGAACCAGATGAAATTAAAAACAGTCACCTGTTTGGTGCAGCCAGGGGTTTCATCAGCAGGGTAGAAATACACAACCACAGGCTTCCCTTTAAACTTGGAAAGGCTCACATTTTTCCCGTCTTGATCTTTCAACGTGAACGACGGAGGCACCGACCCTTTATTCACCTACAACAAAAAAAACCACCAAAATAAAAGAACAATCACTTGCAACAACAAAAACCCACCAATATAAGAGCCATGTACCTTGGCAGAAATGGAAGTTTTGAAGGAGGAAACACAAGGAATGGAAAGAGAAGCAGAAGAGTGAGAGAAGTTAAGGCCATGAAATTGAGACTGCGATGATTTGGAGAGAATTGGGACACATTTGGGAACAGAAGACTTGGAAGTATGGGAAGGGAGTAGAGAAGCCACAGTGTGGCTTGGGAGACAGAGAGAAGAAGCCATTAAAGGTTGAGACAAAAATGGGAAAGCTCCGGGATAGGTGGTAATAAGAGAGTGTGGGTTTGAAAGGAAGATAAGAGATCGTTGGTGGATTGCATTGGCTGGTTATTGGGTCATAGGGGATACGGGAGAAGATGGTGAATGCCAAAAGGATTAGTACTGCGTGGACGATTGCTGTCCGTAAGTCTTCTACGACACAAACCTTAAAAACGCAAACCTTAAAGGGGGTACCTACTGCAACTCCTACTGCAACACATTATAATTTAGGTAATATCGACAAACGATCTCTCGATTATAGGCGTTGATTCGTTTACTTCTTTTACTATTAAAACTTCGGGTAAAATACAAGGGACACCATCAAATTATGGTAAAAAATCATTTTGACCACCAACGTTTCAATTTAATCAATCAAACCACCCAACTATTTAAGTGGTTCAATCAAGTCATCGGCCGTTAGTTTTTAACGAAGGTGGTGACGTGTCCGTTAATAACATTGGTATACTTATATATTTAGTCCTTAATATTTACACATTTTATCAGTTTAGTCATTATTTTAATTAAATTAAATAAATTTAATTCTCGAATCAAAAAGTGCCAAGTGTAAGGATTAAATTAATTTAATTTATTTTAAATTAATATATTTATTTTCTTTTCCAAGGCCATTTGGGAAAGAGAGCAAGGGCTAAACCATTGAGCCAAGAACAATATTGGTTTCAAATTGACAATATGTTATATATGTTTTGTATCATATTGTATAAATAATTAACTTAATTTCATAATATTTTATATTCTCAACTTTAAAAAATAAATATTTTTATCTTAAATTATTAAATATATTTTATTCTAAACTTATTTTTTAAAAATATTTTTTATTATTTTTATTTAAAAGTGTTTATTTTATTCTTATTTTACTTAAAAATATATTTTATTTTTATTTTAACTAAAAAATATATTTTGTTATTATCTTTAATTTCAAAAATATATTTTATTTTGTCTTAATTTAAATATATTCCAAAAATATATATTATTATTAAATTAACTTATTAAATATATTTTATTCTTAACTTATTAAATATATGTTAATAATAATTTTAAATTAAGATAAAAATAAAATATATATTTTATATCAATATAAGAATAAAATATACATTTTAAGTTAAAATACGAATAAAATATATATTTTAAGTTATGACAAGAATAAAATATATTGTTTAAGCTAAAATAAGATTAAAATATTTTTATGTTAATATATAAATAAAACATATTTAATAATTTAAAGTAAGAATACAATACATTTTTAAAAGTTAAAATGATAATAAAATTATATTTTTAAAAGTTAAGATGAGATAAAATATATTTTTAAGTTAGATAAGAATAAAAAAATAAAATTTTAAAATAAAATAAGAGTTAAATATATATTTTATTTTAATTTTATAATAAAATATATTTAATAATGTAAGATAAAAATAAAATATATTTTTTAAAGTTAAAATACATAAATTATTTTATTAAAAAATACATAAATTATTATAAAAGATTAATTATTAATACATAATGATATTCAATATATACAACATATTGTCATTTTGGAACCAAGAAGTTGGCTTGTTGGTTTAGCAGGTGATTGGTCACCTCACCAATCAGTGGGTGACACTTGGTACAATTTGATTCAAAAATTAAAGTTACTTAATCTATTAAATATAAGACTAAATTGATATAATATATAAGTAATAGGGATAAATATATATAATTATAATAATTTTATCAACAAACACGTCACCATCTCCGTTAAAAATTAACAGTTGGTTGCTTGGTTTAACCATTTAAATAAGTGAGTGGTCTGATTGATTAAATTGAAACGTTAGTGGTCAAAATGATTTTTTATAATAGTTTGGTGGTCCCTATGTAGTTTACCCTAAAACTTATAAAAGGATGTTATGTAATTGGGTGTTGTTTTATTAAGTCTCATAACTATAAAATATTACAAAATAATCACCCCACTATTTATTTGTTTCAAAATCATCATTTTATGTTAAAAATTGGCGTTCGTCTGAGTTTGACTTTAGCATTAATAATATTATTTATTATAAAAATTTCATATTATCATTTTTGAAAAGTTGAATAAAAAATATAAGATAAACTATATTTATGACCTCTTAATTATTGTCTCTTTTAATTTTAATTATTAATTTTTTAATGAAATCATTTAAAAAGTCACCTACCATTATAATATTTAACGGAAGAAATAACATAATTATTACAAAATTAATATAATTACACATTCAAATACTTTTTATCATGCTACTCTTCTGGCCCCATATTATGGGCGTGCTATGGGGGAATATTTTCCAAGGGGTAAGGGAATGATTTTTTTGGGTATTTTTATAATTTCATAAAAAGTTATTTAAAAAATAATAATTTTAAGTTATTTTTAAATAAAAATTTTGAAAAAGATAAATACGATGTGTTTAGATAACAATTTTTTTAACAATCGTAATAAACTAAACACCTAAAATTATAACGTTAGAAATGTTAAATACCTACTTTAAATAAAAAATATTTTAGTTATCTAAAATATTTAAATAATTTGTTTTTCATTAAACCATAATATAAATATAGTTTTATGCAAATTTAACTCACACATCCACATATAACATCACAAATTTTACAAACAAAACTTTTAATCAAAGGAGCAAAAGATAAACTCTTATTTGTGATTAGATCAAACAACGGATATCAATATATAAATATATATTTAAAATATCAATTAATATTATTATATTACAAAGTTATATAGCTATATATTTTATTTTGAAAACGTTTAAAAAAATCATATCTTTAAATGGAAACAGTTGCCGTTTAACGGCAGCAAAGGGCAAAGAGAGAAGTAAAACGGGAAAAAATCCTACCTCCGATACAGTCGCTTTATCCAAAGAAAATTTTGGTGCGACAGCCACAAGCATTTTTCAATCAAACAGCAAATTTACTAGTAATTATTAAAAAAGAAAAAACCTTCATTTCTATAATTCCTCTAAGGCGTATTTGGTCTCTTTTTTGTTTACTCTTTCCCCCTTTCTTTTTGTTGTCATTTGCTATACCATTCCCAAATTTCCTCCAAAGCCTTTGGCAATGGCCCTTCTTCTTCGGGTTCTCTGCTAAATCCTCCCCCACATATTCAGGTTCCAAGTTCTGTTTTTCATAAAGATTTTGTTTTTGGGTTGATTTGACAACCAAGATATAGAATTTATGTGAAAGAGACACTTGTGTCCTGATGTTTCATTCTTCACAATGTTTAGATTATGGAATTTGGGTTGGACTTTTCTTGAGTGGATTTAAAATTTTTCTGCAATTGAAAATAAAAATGTTCAATTATCTTAGATTTTACATTGTTAGATATGGCCATTATAGTTTAAACTTTTGAGAATTAGGACACCTTTAATCTGGCAGATCTAGATTCAATATGCTTAAAAGCCAACATTTTTTGCCCTTTTGGATATGGATTTCCATTGTATTTGAGATGAAAAATATATTATGAAGGTGATTTCTTTGCTTATTTTCTGTCATGATAGTGATTGGAAGTGTGTAATTTATTAGCTTCATTTTTATAATATAAATATATGTTGGTTTGATCCATTTGAAGGAAACAATGCACTTTTAAATCCAATTTTTCTTATATAGGTGGTGATTTATTTGATTTGTTCTTGGACAATTTATGGATATGTAGTGGAAGATGATACAAAACCTACAAATTCAATTCTGGGGTTCTTTTAAATATTTGCAGTGAATTTAACAATGGATGACCGAGGCGACGGCGGCAAGGTGACCGGGATCCGGCAGATTGTTAGACTAAAGGAAATCATTCAGAAATGGTAAACTGCCACATTAGGCTCAAGGCCAAGTACTCCCCGCTCCGGAGACTGTCCTGGCAGTGTCCCAAGACCCTTAAACAAAAGGCTAACCAACGTTATGTATTGTGATTCTGATGAGGAAAGTTGTGCCAGTCCCGAACCACCACCCGATGTCCCGAAGGGATATTTGGCAGTTTATGTCGGTGCGGAGGTTCGGAGGTTTATCATTCCGACGAGCTACCTTACGCATCCCGTCTTCAAGATTTTGCTACAAAAAGCCGAGGAGGAATTCAGGTACGATCACAATGGCGGACTCACACTCCCTTGCAAGATCGAGACCTTCAAGTATCTGCTCAAGTGCATAGAGAATCATCCTAAGGGCTACATTGTTGAGAGCTCGGTTTCCGAACAGGTCGATGCTCGTTTTTATGCGGAATGAATTAGGAGTTCATTGCCCTAACATGAAGATTCTTTGTGCATTTTTGCAGCTGGAGATTCATTAACTAATTGTAGTGCTGGAGAACTTTGGGGTCAAAACAAGGTGTGTTTATATATGCAGATTTGGTTTTTCTTTTGTGTTTTGTGCTTTTCCATTGAATTGGGAAAACCTTTTAGTTATAAAAAAAAATTGGGATGAATGCGAGGAGGAAGGGGTAATGTTTTAAGCTCCCTGTCCTTTATCCGACACCTAATGTTTGATTCCATAATGAAATACTTTTTATACGATGGATGAGTTTATTGGACAAAATCGATAATATACATCGATGTACAACAAATGGTTGTCCCTTGTTCCTATATGTAATGGGGGTAAGGGGAGGTAAGATAGTAGGTTGTCCCTAACACCAGGTTAAGAACAGCTTCCGTAGAAGACCTCCGAATTATGAAATGCCCTCCGTGAGACTCGATCCCACGACCTCGATGTACGACGTTCATTCTAAAATTTTCCATATTCTAACGTATATTCAGCAGTTTTAATGTAATTTTTATTGTTAATGTGTTAGTTTAGTTGTAATTAATTAAACTATAATTCAGTTTTTTTTTTGCCAGAAATTCCAGATGAACCAAATTTAAAAAACAACTAAATCTTGAGTATGTTTAGAAGAGAAGGGAAGAAGATAATTGTACATTATGCTCTAAATTATATCGTGTTTTAAATTAATCTTTAAATTTTAAAATATTTTGTATCATTCTTCAAATTATGATATTTATTCTAAATTGATTATTAAACTTTAAAATATTTTAAATCAGTAAATTATCAATACCATTTTATTTTAATGATTTCGTTAACATGTTAATTGTATCTGTTAAATAATAATTTATTTTTGAAAGTACTGAGAGTTGAACTCGGGACTTGAAAAATTCTCAAGACATTCAAAAACATATTATTTTTTTTAGAAAGTCACATGTTTAATTCCTATGATCTTAAAAAACATATTAAACTTTTTTAAAAGATCACAGATTCGATTGTCACGGCCTTCAAAAATCAATAGAGTTAACAAAATGTTAACAGAAGGATCAAAATGGAATAATAGTTAGAGTATGAAGACTAATATAGAATGTTTTAAAGCATATGAACCAAATTAAAATGAGGGTCATAGTTCTTGGACTAATATAGAATATTTTAAAATTTAGAAATCAATTTAAAACGAGGGTCATAATTTAGACATTGATATAGAATACTTTAAAATCTAAAAACCAGTTCAGAATGAGGATAATTTAAGAATTGATATAGAATATTTTAAAAATTAAAGATGAATTTAAAATGAAGGTCATATCTAGAGATATTTTGTGCAATTAACTCAAAAGAAAAAGTAAGGAAAGAAGATATGGGAGACCATTTCAAATTGAAATGGTAAAGGAAAATGAATTGAGGTATAATACAAGTATGAAATCAACTAAAAAATTATTCAATATAAATATGAAATGAACTAACAAATTATTCTATTAATTGAATTATGATGATAGAATTTTTAAAATGAAAATAATAATAATTAAACTCCTTTATAACAGAAAAACTAAAGATAGAACTTTTAGTTTGGAAACATGAAAAATAGTGAACATGTTTTATTTTTATGAGGTTATTATTTTTGTAATAAATAATTATATAAAAAAAATTATATTTCTTGTATAAAAATATTTTCCGAATATTAGGCATATTCATATCAAAGTTAAGGACCATTGATATTAGGGTCAGCATATAACTGAGGCCTAGTGGAATCTGTATCAAGTATGACAACACAAAAGCAGAAGAAAATAAAATGCGGTGAGCGTGGATCGAACACACGACCTTCAGATCTTCAGTCTGACGCTCTCCCAACTGAGCTATCCCCGCAGGCGACACTCTAAGATGTACAATAATACATAAAATATTAGCTTTTAAATTTTGGATTCCAAAATAAAAATGCGTTTTGGTCCGTGTATCAGATAGAACGGCAATAACTGTAGCAGCAACGGCGACGCCACAAAAGCTCCCATGATCAACTGGAATTCATACGTTTCTCTGTCACTGAAGTCTACCTTCACCTACAGATCAACTGGAACTGGGTGAGTTAAAGAACAAGGACTGTCATAATAAGAGAATAAATCCTTTTGTCAGGAAATATAGTTGAAGGCTGATCTTGTCAGGTATTTTTATACAACCTTTGCATGAGTATGAAAAATGTCTACACATAGAGTGCATCTGCATGTGTGATTTCCAAGATTATCTCATCTTCATCAAATCTGTTGAATGGTCTCAAAGTTTAGATTCACCAAGTCAATGATTTACATTTCTTTGACAGGTAAATACAGCTTCTCAGCAAGAACGCGAAGATGAAACTTAACAAGAATGATTCTTTTCAAACCAATTAAGTGAGATCCTGTCTTTCAAAACCCTAACTTTAGCTATTAACAATTTATCTTACAACGAAAATGTTATTATGCAGAACTTTATTAAGGAGACCAGCATATTTGATTAGTAATTGTTGGTTAATTTCAACCACTCTCTTCCCAGAACCCATTGAATCGAACGTTTACAAAATGTGTATACGTTGTTAAGACTAAGAAAATTTCAAATAAACATTACATTGTAATCATTCTCGACCATCAATGTAAGATCTTTATTACCTTGAATGATAATTTTATTCTAAATATTTAAATGATTAATGTGATACTAACTCTGAAATTTCTTTAATGTGCTTATATGTAAGTTTTGGATGAAATGTTAGAGTCGAGTTATCCATTGGAACTAGACTTTGGATAAAAGTCCATAAATTTGATCTCTATGCAAATAATTATTAAGTTATTGTACAAATCAAATTATAAAAGGACTGTTATTTGCATTAGATCTAATTATGGTCTGCCATTCTAATATTTCAGTCTAATATTATTTTAGCCCTTAAAACAAAATTGTTTAATCGAGGTCTAAATTTAATAACGTTTTTATATATATTTTCACACATGATTAATTTCAAAATTAATTTCATAAATATATTGATAATTCCATATTTACTCTTATATATTAAAACTATTTTCAAATCACATATAAATCTTTTTATTTTTCATTAGTGCGATTTGTATTTAAATTGTTTTCAGTTTACTTGGATATATATTTTATAAGATGATTACATGCATGCTTTAGTTTCATTTTACTAGGGATGATTTTGATTAAATTCTTAAAATTACTTATTTTGATTAATTGACGAGTTTTTCAAATTCAAATGAACCAAAAAATTTATGGATACTATATTTGATGATCTTGAATGATTGTGTGGTGTGATTTACTGACCTAAAATTTTGATTGATTTTCAGGAAAAATAATTACAAAAATACTCTTAAAATTGATTTTTATAATAATGTATTAAATTATATTAATAGATTTTGAAATTAGTATACTAATATATTAAAAGACCCTAAAATTAGCAATATATTATTATAAAATTAATTTATTAAAATAACCCTAAAATTACATATAGTAATATATTAATAAATACACATATATATGATAAGGGAATTTCCAATCCCTTGCAGAAGATTCTTAATTATTTTTTTTTGGCTAGTGAGAAAAAGAATGAGAATTTCACAACCTAGAAATGTTGGCCCTTCAAAAAAGGAAATATAAGGAATTATGATTCCACTTTTTCTAAAGTTTTATAAAAGTATGTTCCGTCTCCATAAAAGCGAAAATTAAAATTAATTATAATGTGCGGTCCAGATAAAACATTATAATAATAATCGCTACCAAAATCATTATAAATTTCATCCAAGTTTTCAACCATTCGTTAGTGAAGTTTAAGTCTAATGGTGAATCTCATTATTTTAATCTAAGTTTTATTGTCTATTGATTTTCTTTATTTTTAATTTAAACATATTTCAATAATCAATTTTTTTAATTATAAAATTATTTCTTTTAAAAATGAGTAGAAGAAAAAAAATTAGAAGGGTACTGAACTTTAATTCAGTTATATAATTATCGTTATAATATAATTGTTTGCATTTTAAATAATATATTTAAATGTGTATGGAATCTATGTATTATACAATACGAGTAAATTAAATGAGTTAAATTCCGCAAAATATATAAATTAAATAACTTTAATAATTAAAAGATTGTTATGCTTTTTCTAAAGTCTAGAATTTAAAAATTATATATTATAGGTATAAAAGTTTAATATTAAATAATTAAAAATCTTTGAATAATATCTTGTATTGCTTTTGATTAATAAAAAAGAGCGTTAAAATATAATGAAAAAACATTGAATAAGGTAATATCAATCTGATTAACCTAATAGTTGAGAATAAATGAAATTAAATATGAAAGATTGAGTACAAAAAATAGATAAATATAGGGGGGACAATCTAAGGAAGGAGGTCATCCCCAAATAAGTAGAGCATGCGATCGACGGCCCAGCTGGGTTCATTGTTAGCCCCAACTAAGCTTAGAGAAGAAGTTAGTAAAGGAGCTCTGCAAAGGGGGCAACTCTTATGATTATCATCATCTTCATCTTCATCTTCATCATACTCAACCCATCTATCAATGCAATCCTGATGGAACACGTGGCAGCAGTTCCTCAGTTCCCTTACATCATCGCCTTCCTTCAGCTCACACAAGCAGACGGCACACGTGTCGGAAACCCAAGGCATCCTCTGCTTGGCATCTCCAAAGGTTGTCAGGACCAAGTTGTCTCTGATCATTTCCGGTGAAGAAGAAGAATCGTGTTGGGAATCCAATGAAAATTGAGCAGAAGAGGAGCCATCGACGTGATTAAACCTGAGATTAAGAGCCCAAACCAAGACCCATCTTAGGACTGCTAAAACAACAGCCGTTTTGTAAAGAAGATGGCTTACGATTAGGCCCGAATCGTCTAAGAAGAAACACATCGAAAACAAGGGAAACAAGGAAGCAACGGTGGAGGGAAGGGAAAGGAAAGGAAAGTGTTGATTACTGAGGAAGAAATGATATGGGAACGTAGTGGGCTGCTTTATTTGGAATAGAAAAAGAAGTTGATGTGATGATTAGGTCACAAAAGAAACAGGATAAACTACACATTTAGTACATAAATATCACTTCGATTCTGTTTTAATCACTTAACTATTTTTTTAAATCATACATAATATTTAGTTTTGATTTTATTTTGTTTATCAATTGTTAATAAATTAACAGTGATACTGGTTTGTCACCATAAGGTGCCACAACATCATTGAAAAATAAAAAAAATATCACGTCAACAATTCTGTTAATTTTTAACTTTAGGTGACCAAAATGAAATCAAAACGTAATGTTAGGTATGATTTTGAAAATAAAATAATTAGATGACCAAAATAAAACAAAAAAGATAGCTGGGTACTAAAAGTGTAGTTTACCCAAAGAAATATAAGACATCTATGATCAAATATAGATGCTGTAATATCTTCTTTCAAGAAACTCCAATGATAAGTTTGCTAACAGAGGAATAAATTTATATTACCAATGTTTATTGTAAAGATTAAAAGCTAAACATATAGAATGTTGGTCCTCTTACCTTTACCAACAAGTGAAAGGTATAGGTCAATGTTATCATTTACACCCTACCATAGGCTACCCACAAGAATTTATACAAGCAATGAACTCGCTACCACTATCTTATCATCAATATATTCGTATAATCGTACCAACTTCAAAAACAAACATACATTTAGACAAAAAATGTACTACTTTTACCATCAATTGAACTGAGTTTTTAACTCCAAAATAGTTTTAAAAAAATTAACTTTTAACCTTTTTAAGTATAAAGAGTAAATCTCAATCTTTGTAAATGTAAAGAACAGGGACTGAAGACAGATTTTGACCTTACTAAAACGGCATGGTTCATCAAACGACCGAAGTGGCCCATCACATTCTCTCCCGCATGTTCCATGTTACCGAAACAGTAACATAACTGACGAGTTTAGCTTGTTTGACAGTTTTACTAGCTATAATACGAACACTACCAGCAATAAGCTGATGAAGGGATGAAACATTATATCAATAATTTATCGTTGTTGAAGTTGACAGCTCAAGCTTGAGTATGTCGATTAGCTAAGAAAAGTATGCATTTGCCTTCGGATTCACTTGTCTAGTTGATTTCACGATGCTCGCGCTCTTTCATCTTCGTTTGCATCTTGTATTGCAAAGTGACTGGTGCACAATCCAATGGTGTTTCTCCTGGAATTGATGTGGTTCAAAAGTGTTAAAAATAATAATCATGGAGACAAACAGATCCATACAAATCTGTGCTGGACACGCTACCAATTAAAATCAGCAATGAAAATGATGGAGAGTTTACAATCATTGATTTCCATGAATCCACGGCATTCAACAAAGCTATACGCCTATACCATGAGTATCATACTTCTTTCAAATGGAAGGTCAGTTTTTCCCCTTTCTAGCACTTTGATCTTATCCAGAATAGGAGGAGATTTTAAAGACAGTTTCGACTTTCAGTAACCTCAAAACTCTACGGTAAGAAACTTCAATTTGTAGATAGACATTTAAAATCAGGAATGGCACAAAACTTTCCATACATTCAATTACCTTGTGTGTTATTGTAGTCCATGCTTGCTCCGTAGTCCATAAGGGCAAACACTATATCAGTTCGATTGAACAATGCCGCCTACAGCAAGGTAATACTGTCATCAGTGTAATAAATTTGGAAAGAAATGGAAATTGAAATTATTCATCCAATCAGCCAGCCTTCACGAACACATACAAATGATTGCAGTCATGTACAACAAACTATAAACATCAGAGAGAGATAGAGAGAACAATACCACATGCAGTAAAGATAATCCTTGCTTGTCACGGTAATTTGCATCTACACCCTGCACACATAATCATACTTAGAAATTCATTCTATTTGAACTTTGGAATAAAATAATCACATACCTCACTTAGAAGCTTTTTGACTGCAGCAGTATCACCATTCTTTATAGCCTCTCTTAAACCCTGAGTATAGTAAATGCAGAGGAATATAATTTTAAAAAAAGAGAAAAATACTATGAATATTCAAATGTCTCAGATGATACTTCATTAAAGAATTCTACTTCTACCTCTCCATTGACATCATAATCCATCTGAGGTTTATCTGCGGCAGTACCATTGGTCACAAGACCAGGATTGAAAACCGAACTGCAAAGATGTTAACCATATCTAAATATCTAGCAGAGCAGAGTAAAACAGAAAGCAAGATTAGCCACCAAAAGAGGCTAGACTTAAAAACCAAGATGGCGGGCAAAGTGGCAATAGTGAGGGTTTTTCTCTCACAATTATCCTCCATTACATTAAAATTCATTCTAATAACTTCTATCAAAAAGTTGAGTACAAACAAGAAAGTAAAATAAAATCAAGAGAGAAAGTAAGCTGATTTCAGTGTTTTCAGGTTTCAAATAACTCAGGCTACTAGAATTGGCCAGAAAGTGTTGGGATTTCCATGCTCAAATTAAGAAGGAGATGTTTCATAGCCTTAAGATTTCTAGAGTTATTATAGTCATAACTTTCTTATTATTATCTTTGAATTAATAAGGAAAGAACTAGAGGTTTTACAACCCTAAGTTTTCTAGAGTTCCATCTTCTTTCCTATTCGTTTTCCAGTCATAGTTCTGCTGTTTTATTGCTGATTCTCTTGTAAATATTATTATGTTTGGAAAGTGTGAAGAAGAAAGACTGAATACAAAAAGAACAGAATAGCATACCTAGATTTACTGTTTGAAGTGGAGCCTCTACTCTTGGGAACATAGTCAGTCTTTTTTGATTTAGGATTTGACGAAGCCATCGAGGATGGAGGGTTTATCTGCAGTGCAAACAAATAAGGGTCCATAAGACAAGCTTGGATCAGCATATGAGGTGCTGCAAAAACTACAGAATAATCCATACCTTAAGTGGAACTGCATCTGTTGTTGGTGTTGGAGCTTCACAAATACACAACGGCATTTCACACTTGCAATCTGGAGTGCTTGCAACAGGCTGTTGCTTTGCAGTTGCATCAGTTTCTGAACCCACGACTGCATTAATGTCTAATCTAGAAACTTCATCTATAACAGAATCAACTCCACCTAAAGGAGGATGAGGATCAGCTTTTGCAGATCTGCACCCAAATAAATTGGCAAGAAAATTTATGTGAAGAAACAAAAAAAATATTTAGAAATGGTCTCTTAAATTGTGCTCAAGGTAATAAGAAGAAAATCAAAATGAAGCAGGAGCATCGACCAACACCAAGAATCTAAAACATATCCAAGCAACACCCCCTCCTCCTTCCCTTTCTAATCAATGATATTTAAATATGTATATGTGCATTCAGTCAAGAGACATTTACCCTGAAGATTTATTGAAACAATCTGCACAAACTCGAACAGAAGAAAGTATGCCGAATTGTGGTAAAGCCTGAATATGCACACACGAAAAAATATATATACAAAAGATTCCTTAGTAAAAAGATGGCTTATTCAAACTTATACAACCTGAGAAATGAATAGTTAACCCTTAAACAGAGGGGCTGGGAACTCGAACCATTTGATTAGATGAATGTTCGTGGCATAATGTCCTTCCACAACATCGGCAATGGTGCTGCAAAATGAAGATGTTTTCATGCATTTTCCATAAAGCAGTCAATCCAATATAGGATAGATGGATACCTAATTCAAAAAACTATGTACATTTACATTTGTATTACTTTATAACCAAGAAATATAACCACAACCTTTTATAGCACCTATTTCATGACGAGTAACATACTAACATCACTTTGATTATAGTCAATATCATAAAGATCTATAGAAGTCGGTATAACATACAAATTACGATTACAACACTTTAGATCATCATTAGCAACATATTGTAGTCTTGTAAAACAATTTCCACAACCAGAACCAATTATGCCTTTGATAACATACACACAGGCTTCAATCATTGATTCTGTCTATTGATCCCAAATTCCTCAAGTTTGAAGGCAACGACTAAGTCACAGTAAAAAATCTGAACTTACATACTCACAAGATCAGGCATGTGCCCGATTCAGTCTTTCAAATTTATATAGCAGTAGGCCTAGGCACCTAGCCATAAACCGGGTTATCAATACTTCCAAAGCGCCAATATACCGCATCAAAAATCAAGCCATAAAAATACTTGATTAGATTGAAAAGAACACTGAATCAGCAATTTAACGAATAATAAAACTCATCTCTAGAGCGAATAGATAAGTCAAACAACTAAGATCAAAGCAAAGGAACGCACTCCAATATAGTTTAAACAATTACCGATCTATGACAAAAAATAAACCTAATCGGTAAAATTTACTCCATCGGACGATATGTTTCATTGTTTTCATTGCATTAAATTAAAATGATCGGTTATTAATTCGTATAAAAAATTGAAAATTAAAAAAAAAAGTAAAAGATTTGAGGATAATAATATACCCGGCGCCTGAAAGTATTAAAGCTGCATTTGCAGACTTCGCAACGTGGTGCTTCCTGGAAAGGCGGCGGCTCCAATGACATTTCCGGTCTCTTTATTTCTCAGCCCGGGGCAGGGAAAAAGAAAACAGATGAAGATGCTGATATTTTTTTTTTTCTTTTTGGGTATGGAGCTTCTTTTACTTTTTGTGTTTTTAATTTTATTTTATCAGGGCATATTCGACGATCGGGTTCCTTATTTTCGAGAATCGTACCCGAATTTGATCCACTTACCCGGTATGTCAGCCCGTTAGACGGTGAAACCCGCTAAACACTTTATACAAGATTGGGTAAAGTACAACAAATGGTCATTAAACTATTCTGAAATTATCGCACTACAATTTTGGAAATTACAAAATAGCGATTACACTTATTCAACAATTAATTAATACTCCCTCAAGTAACAAATTGCTTAGCAGTGGTGTTTTGGACGGTTTTCGATGTCTTCGGTTGAGCCTACAGCAAATCCAGCATTTCGGGTCTTTCAATATATTCCAACATAAATATTAAAATAATTATTCATAAAATGCAAAATGAAAAACGCTTAATTTATATTAAAGACGAACTCACTTAAATAATACATGAGATAGTTTAGTCTGTTTAAGATTTTTTTTAAAATATTACAAAAATTTAAATTCTCTCAATTTTTTCTTATTATCTCCTTCATTATATTCCCTCGTGCTTTATTTCTAAAACTTTATAAGATGGATGATTTTTTGTTGTTGATATTTTTAAATAAAATTATTTAGATTTGTAGACATATATATCATAATTTATTATAAAATACTTTATACCATAAATCTTAAAATTTTATGCGCCTAAAATGTATATAGCTAGTAGCTATATAATTCACATAATTTAGAAAAAACATAATTATAAAAATCTCTCTCTCTAAATTTACGAAAAGGAAAGTGCGATCCTTCCAACTCAATTTGCTACAGCCATAAACATCAAAATTCAAATATTGATCTTACTTAAATGATGTAGTTCCTTATCCCACTAAACCAACTGATTGTTGGTTATAAAAATCTTTCTTTAATAAAATCTAAAAATTTTGAAAAAATATTCCTAAAAATTATGAAAGATTAAAATAAACATCACATCATATTTTTTGAGAACTATACTAACTTTAGAAAGTAGACAAGGTAGAGATAAAAATATACTATGATACTAAATTTAGGTAAAAACAAACATAAATGCAGCAGAAATATCACAATTATAAATATCTCTTGTAATTACTTAGTTTACGTTTAAAATTGAGATGCAATAACACCATCGTCAAATGTAGTACCCACCATTATTGATCATCGTAAATTAATTTTGAGTACTTCAAATTTGATTATAAAAAGACTACAATTATTAAAGATCTTCTAAACACACGAAACTTCACTTCATAGAATAAAATTATAACTCTCTAAATATGAAATTACTTTGAATATTTTAATGTTTAAAAGATACTGTGTAAATTGAATATTTATAGAAGTTTTTTTCTATAAGAAAAACCATGCACACATGGAACATGGAATATCCCACGAACCAACTACATGGGATTGCAAACATGGGTTGGCCACGAAACCAACTCTTACACAAAGCTCAAGCAAACCATGCAGCCTGCTCGATCAGTGTCATGCGTACGTTCTCTATGGTAAAAAAAATATAATAACGCAGTGATGAAATTGAAACTATTACCGGACACTTCCACAGTAATTTGTTTTGGACAGCCCCATTTATTGTTTGCATGCATGCATGCAAGCGACTGTCAGCAACAGCGGGCTCCTAACATGTGCTTGCATTGAAACAGAATAACCAAAATTAATATAGATGGTGGGAAGAGCACCGCATTTTCCCTTGTTGTGGTTATCCGTTTGATCTTTTGTTCAGAGACACAGTGTCTTGGCATAGAACTGGGTTTTTATTGGCTTCAACTTGGCATTCAAAACCATTAACCAAAAGTAGCTGGCTGTAATAAAAACTGGGTCCAAAAGTTCCGCTGCTAACCTCACTCTTAAGGGTTCTAGAAGGTGGAGGACGTTGTTGTTGGTGGCAGATTTGGAAAAATGGGATGGTCCCGCCGCCGCCGCCGCCGCCACCCACACGGCCTCATCCCCACTTATGGCGGAAAGTGACCTTACACTTAAATAGATAGGAGAAAAAGAGTGCAAGGTGATGTATTAGCTGATCTGAGATGACGCTCCCACCCTCTTAGAATTCAATATAGGTGACAGAAATTCAATATTTTGCCACAATTAATATCAAGTGGTATATTAAATTTCACGTTAATTTAGTATATATTAAAAATATTCACACGAGCTTACAAGAAATAGGTTGTAAATAAAAGATAATTACTCGCAAGTTTGTCGAGTTTAATTAAAAAAAATCAATTTTGAATAGTTATTATTTAACTGATTTTGGAGTAGATTCACTATCGTCTATATTGTTATTATTATTTTTCCTTTTTTATGTATTTTTTTCATTTAGTTCTATTAATATTTTTAACTTGATTTCCTGTTATATAATATATCTATTTTAATATTTATATATATGAGGTTGATAAGCACTTTATAATAATTGAAGAAATTTTAAAATATAATTTTTTAATATATGACTAAAAATAGTAGAAATTAATTATAATAAAAAAATTTGTCAATAGAATAATTTTTAAGTTGGACAAAGTAATTTTTAAGTTGAATAAGTTGTAATGAAAATATTATATAATTTATAATATTTTCAATTATAAACTTTAAACTCACGTAATGTAGTTTTTCAATTACAATCGAAAATACTATAAATTTATATAGTTAAAGTTAAATAGGATAATATTTTAGATTAAAATTGTCCAAAATTAATTTGAGTTAAAGTATCGACCGTTGAGCAACCCTGATAATGGACTTCAGTAAACCGGGAAGAGAATAGTGAAACGGGGATGGCGCAGGCTTTTTTTTATCGGTGGTGGCCAGCTGCCATGCCAAGTTGTTTTTCGTTTCTTTTCCCACGTGGCAACCTGTTTCTGATTGGCTTATCAACCTGTTGCTGCCAAGGCGTTTGATGCGGCTCTTTTTTTTTACGCGGCCCCGGTGCTAGTTTCAATTTTCCCGACAGTCCGCCGGAAATCACGGGATGGAGGTCGCTTTCCCCGCCGCAAATTCAAGTTGTAGCGGCTAGGTTTGCTAACCAGGTTGACGAGCACGAAACTAGTAATCAAACATCCAATAATAACAGTTCAAATAACGAGAATACTATCGGGACAGAACAGTACACGTCATCTTCATCATCATCGTTTGTGAGCATGTTGGATATAAATCGGTGACAGATCCAAAAATTTATAAATAGGATATAAAATTTTAACTTTTTTAAAATAATGATGGTGTAAAAAAAAATTGTCTTTCTTTTTTCTTTTATTTATTATACTAAATTTTAATTTTTTTCCTAAATAATAAGATGCACTTGATCCATAGGAGGTTTAATCACCGAGGATCAACTCTATCCTCCTACGCCGCCTATTGATGATAACGACGATGATAATCAAAATGGAGGCGATGGTTTTGTAACTTGTTTCTGTTGTATTTGATATTGTTTTATTTTGTTGGCGCAGACCTATCAAGAGCAAGCAATTATTCAGTTGATGTAAGTTTGATGTAACTGATATTTACTTTACTTGAATAGCTTTTTATGTTTGTGTGTGCTTCTCAGACTTTTGGTGATACACTAGCCTATTCTTCTAATGGCTAAAATACCTTTCTGGTTACATTTCAGGTGAAGAATTTGGAAGAATTGCCCAACATCATTGATTCCTCTACACCAGATCTTTAATTTTTTGTACCTTCATCATTCTCACCATCAAAATCACCTTTCTAGCTAAAATGTTTGAATGCCAGAATCAAAGGTAGTGGCAAAGGTTCCTAAGATCACTATAGTTTAATGTTGCTAAGCTGTTTTATGACAAATGATGCCGCCATCCCCCCACCCCAATAAAGTTATTTTAAGAGTAAACAAATGATTATTATAAAAAAAAAAAGAGTAAACAAATGATGTTTTAGGTTTCTGTTTACAGATATGAGGTTATATTTCTTGTATCCTTTAACTTGAAGCTAAGTCAATCTTTTGACTTGGATAATTTTTTGTGTATATAATATAGCCAACATAGATGATTACGTTTAGAATGTCATGGTTATTATGTTTTGTAAGTCTGAACATTGTACAAACTTTTTATGGTTAATGTTATACTTATTTTTGTTATGTAGTATATACTTTGTAAGTAATGTGCTAGTTTTTGAATATGTTAATTACTTTTTATAAATTTATATATTATAATTTTAGATAAATTATGTAAAATTTAATTAAACGTTGAAGTAGTGAGTGTTAAAAATCTCTAATATTGAACATTTAATTAAATGTTGAAGTAAAATTTTAATATATTTTTAGATAAATTATGTAAAATTTATTATTAATTAAAATTAAAATAATACATGATATATTTAAATAATAAAATAATATATTATCGATGAATTTTTATATAAATAATTTTTATTTAAATATATTATCGATGAATTTTTATATAAATAATTTTTATTTAAATATTTAGAATTTCACTTATTAAAAAATATAGAACAATGTCAATTTGGTAAAATATACATTTCAATAATCTTTTATTACTTCAATCAAACACTGTAATCTTACATTACTCCACAACAAGCCAAACACAATAATGTAATATTTCCAGTAATGTGTTAGGTAATGTTACATTCCAATAATCTTATTCCCACTGATAATCTTATATTCTGTGAACCAAACACACCCTTAGGGTCAAAACTTCTTTCTAGTATCGCTTGATGTTCAGTCAAGGAGTGATTTCTTAATATGCTTTTATTTTAACTTTATTCCAATGTACTAGAATTTATGATTCCTTTTCTTCACTCAGGAATTTTCCGATCAATTAAATATTTTCATTAAAAAAGAGATAAATGTTTAAAATATAAAGTCAATGGATTTGGGCTAGAAGTGAATATGACGGCGGCCATAAACGCAGGGTTTAAGCTTTCTCTCAATTGGTTTTAGCCCATTCATTTCTTTTTAAAAACAACAAAAATAATGGACTGGTAATGTT